ATTAGGCTGCGGGCCAAATTTGGCCCGCGGGCCAGAGTTTGACACCTATGGGCTAAGTGGATGGCACAGCACAGCAGACCTACGAGAGAGTCCAGACCAAGAATATGCAGCATGTTTACAACTACAGGCCGGTGGCCACTTTTCCACTGATGAAGATGTATACATGTGGTTTGAGCAAGGAGTGCAATTATGTTAGAAGGGAACAGCCATCTCTGAACCAAAGAGGGGGCCTTACAGTACATCTTTCATCATATTACAGTGCTGTGATTAGCACTCATGGGCATCAGTGGTCATAGAAATTTCAGTATTAGCAGTCTTGAAACTGGTGTTAGTCAGTGGTCCAACTTTCAATCATTGTGCAACTGTGATGAGATGAAACATTACATCAAGTTGTACAAAATCAACTTTCTGGAAATTCACATTGTTGCTGATTAAATTTCTTACTGTGAATATTTACAGAATGAATACAAACAAACAAACATATATTTCTTCTGATTTTTCAGAGTAACACTGTCTTCACATGCTACAAATGTGAAAAGTTCTTCTCCTCTTCCGAGGAGCTCAGCAAGCATCAGGCCACCCACAGCACAGAGGAGAAGGCCTTTGTCTGCTCTTACTGCCAGAAAAGCTTCTTTACCTTCACCGAGGTGAGGACATGGCAGGCATTTTAAAGCTTCTTTTCTGTGCTGGAGGCTTCCAGTGTACCATTTCTTACTGTTTAATATCTTGCAGCTGAACCAACACAGACGTCACGAGTGTAAAGAACGGCGGTGTCCCTGCAGGGACTGTGGTGCTTCCTTCCCCAGCCCGTCACGACTTCGCAGCCATCGCATTGCGGTGCACCCCCAGCCCCCAGAACAAGCTGATGACCTGAACACCTTCCAGTGCTGCAAATGTCATCAGAGTTTCCAGACAGAGGAAGAGCTCCTGCAGCACCAGGAGAAATTTGCCAGGGAAATAAACTGTGACGCTAAGCTGCAAGGCAAAAAACGCGGGCGTAAACCCAAGCATGCAGTTCAAGGAGCGACTGGTGACAGCAAGAGGATAAAACAAGAGGGAGCAGATAACCACGAAGAATACAGTGACCCTCCAACAGACGGCTGCTCCTCCTCCGAGCTCCAGATTCCCTGTCCCGAAGCAGACTGCGATCTCATATTTCCTTCTGTCTTAGCCCTGCGGGCACACAAGCAAGTCGGGCACAACCCACATGCGTGCATACAGTGTGACGAGAGCTTTGCTCAACCCGAGCAGCTCAGCGCACACAAGGCTACGGCTCACAACTCTAGATACACCTGCCTCACCTGTGCAAAGAGCTTTACAAGAGAAAGCAGCCTAAAGGCTCATGAGAGCACCCACACCGAGCGAGAGGAGGGAGCAGAAAATACATAATATAAAGGGAAGAGACTGCAACTCGTCATTACGTGTTTAGATTAAATGATGGTCAAAATGAAGACTGCACAGACCTGTACAGACCAGGTAGTACTCTAACTACATGATCACCTTGGCCTTTTCTTCTTACTAATCCTTCCAGTGTAAGCTATCCTGGAAAGCCATACCAGGGTTTGCACTGTGAGGAAGCAGGATGGTTTGGAGGCAGAAGGCAGAGACATACCAGACAGTCAACTGGGAAACTTTAGTTTGTGTCCACTCACTTTAATCTCATCACAGCTTTGTTAGGTTTACCCCGCAGCTACTACTGCTTTAGCGTGAGTAAAACTGCACTTTTATAATGTTAAAGACGTGCTAGAAATCTCGTTTTTCTGTGTTTTTAGTGGGTTGACTTGATCTAAAACTAAAGGTGGCGACACCAGCACATGTGCACTTACTCACACGGCCACCAGAGGTCAGTTATCTTGAACTGTAACTATATAATTCACCTATTTTATCATTTTCTGATGGAAAATAGGTGTCTGTTGTTTTATGCTCTACAGACTATCTTTAAGAGCTTGAAAAGAAGGTAGCTGGATTTCTTTAATTTTGTCCATAATTCTGTCCATATTACCTCCACATTACCTGTAACGTATTTTATTCACTGTAGACCAACAAGTTATTTCTTACAAGTGCAGTGAATGTTTTGTATTTAGCTGAAGTCAGACACTGTAAGTCCCAAACATGATACAATCTTAAATACTACAGTACAGCAGTATATAGGGTTCTCTGTCACGAGACAGTCAGTCTCAAGGTTTCATTTCTTTTCTTTTTTTTTCTTTGTTTTTCAGAAGTTGTTGCATTAAACAGTACTCAAATTCCTGTGCTGTCTTTGTCCTTTTTATATTATTATATTTACTTAAATATTTATGATGTGGAAAACACTTCAGTTTGAATAAGTCTGAAAGTAAGTAATTTATGAAGAATCATTTTACTTGTTTTGAGGTGTTTTGGATCAAATTCTTATCTCTTTAAATCTCTACATCTAGTTGAACTCTCACCTTTTATACAGACTAGAATAGACTTTATTTTTTTATTTTTTTATTAAGTGTACTACTAATAATGTGTGGATACTATCCCCCAAATACTTGATTGTACTTTAGAACAAATATTTGACCTAATGTGTGATCAGAATGTCCCTCTGGCCCATGTTTAGTTGATGGCATCACACAGCAGCAATGCCCAGTTGGCACTAAGGGCCTCAAGGTGTGGTCTTCTGTTGCTGTAGCCCATCTGCTACGACGTTTCATGTGTTGTGTATTCAGAAGTGCTCTTCTGCATTCTTTGGTTGTAATTGGTGGTTATTTGAGTTACTGTTGCCTTCCTATTAGCTTATCCTTCATCAACCCCCACAAAATGGACATGATTTTTTGGGAAAATGCTAGCAGATCAGCAGTTTCTGAAATACTGAAATAAAGCAGCCAGCCTGACACCAACAACCATTCCACATTCAAAATCACTTTCTTCCTCTTTGTGATTCTCGCTTTGAACTTCAGCAGGTCGTCAGATATTTGTGTGGAAGAGCAGTTGAAGTGGGAAAGGTATATGACTAAGTGGCTGTGTTTGGATAATTTTACACCACTACATTATTCAGTTAACTATATTCTGCAGTGTCTCAGATTTCAGTACTCACTACGTGGTTCCCCAGTTACAACAGTGATAGGGGCAATTCTGCTAGATCGGTGTTGTTAGGTTTTATATCATTTTACTGATGATATTTACTTAATGATGATACTTTTGAGTGCCAGACTGACTTGTACTGACTTCCTTTTCATGTAAGGTATGAATATTTTACTGAGTAAATGGCCAGAGTACTGCATGAACTCTGCAGCTTTAAAATCAAAGTGAATAGATATCTGTACTTATTTGACATTTTAGAGAACTGAAACAACAACTTTGCTGTTTTAAATGATCTTAAAAGCTGACAAATACTCTCCCTTACTTGCATGCGTACACACACACACATACAGAGTTATTTAGGACAGAAAACACAACTTTAACTTATTAAGGTTAATATTTGCCTATTTGTGTTTCCCAGAAGAAAGAAGCCAATCTCTAATAGTTGTCAATACATGACAGACCAGAGGACTATGACGACTGCTGGAAACATACCTTCTAAATTTTAACTTGATGTTTTATTGGTTCTAAATAGTTTTTATTTAATAACAAAATTAGAAATGAAATACTTAAGACATATTTTAGATGCTTTAAGAAAAAAAGAAACAAAACACTAGAGATCCAGAGTGTGCAAAGTAAGAAATTTTAGGTATTATAGAAATAATATTGCTAAGATTTACAAAACAAAAAAACAGAGTGATTTTGGTATGAAAGAACATTTTTCTTTAACCAAATCTGATACGTGTAACTGCTTGAATAAAGTTCATCGAGTTGTACCACTGTGGGCGGGGTTTACCGGTGGTAAGAAGCGGACAGTACCACTGTTTTTATATTTATTACATCCTTTGTTTAAACTTATATTTCAAGAGTGACCTGGCCAGAGAGCACCAAACATAGTAGTTGATATTATTAAATGTATAACTGATCTTAGAGTGGATCTAAGAGGAGTGCCACTGACCTTGAGGAGATTATTTATTTATTTATTGGCAATGACTTTTGTGAGTTAATTTACTTCATGCTAACCAGCTCTAACAATTTTATCTCTTTCTACCTAGTCCACTGTTCTTATACTACTACTATTGTTGTTGAACTCATTTAATTACAATCTTCTTCCTCCTCTTCTCTCAGCTGCTCCCTCTAGGTGTCGCCACAGAGGATCATCTGCTTTCATTTAATCCTATCTTTAGTATCATCCCCTGTCACATGAACCCTCTGCATGCATATCCACTATCCCTCCTCTGCACATTGTCAAACCATCTCTCTCTTCCTCTCTAACTGTCTCCAAACCCCTCAACCTGATCTGTCCGTCTGACGTGCTCAGTTTTAATCCTGACCTTCATCTTGGCCTCTCCAAACTGTACATCATAGCAGGTTTCCATATTGTCTGTAAATCATACTTTCAAACAATTATTTAGAATATAGACTTTGCAGATCATTGCATTGTGAGTTTATATTTTACACCGTATTCAAACTTATTGCGTGAAGAAACACATGTTTTTACAATTATTCAATTTAAATTTGCACATTTATAGCATAAAGTAAGTGACAGTTATATGGCTACAGGAAGCTTAGGAGTGCCACTCCTGCTTGGTGTTGGGGTTAAAGCTACATAAGGAAAGGTTACATAAGCACACTTTAAAGAAAAACTAAACATTAAGCACACCACCAAAAAACACATGCATGCAATAAGCAATATAAAAGAGGTTAGCTGGACCATAAAGTGTCTATTGACTTCCAGTCTGCAGTTATTGAACAACCAAAGTATAATAAAAAAAAAAACATAAGATGAAAAGAATGTGGATATACTGATACTGCTGTTGTGAGAGTGTGTGTAAGTGTTTACTTTGCATCAGTAACATTTCATAGTTTCCAGTTTACTGGATTGGGAGTACCGTGGCACCTCTGCGGGGCGGAAAGTTCGTTTTCCCATGATGCACTAGTGCCTCTTTCTATCTCGCGCCTTTGCGTCGCAGCAGTCATCTTGCCACTCATCGCTGCAGCCACTCTCTGCTGGCGCGCCGTCCGTGTTGTTGTGTAGTAAATAATGGCGGCATCGGGAGGCGGATTATCTTCTCCCGCTGCTGTCGCGGGCTTGAGTAGCCAGACACCGGCCCGGGCTCGTTTTCCGGGCCGGCCGTGCACGCTTCGCAGCAGGCAGCGTTCGGAGAAACGTACCAGACGCGGAAGGTTGGGCTCGGAGGAGACGGAGCTTCCTACTGGAGGGCCGAGGCCCGTCAACATCGGCCTCGCGTTAAGCGAGGATCCGTCCCTCCTGCGCCTCCTTGGGCTGGAGGAGAAGCACAGGCGGCAGAGAGATGCGGGTTTCGAGTCCAGCAACAGCGAGGAGGTAAATAAGCTAAACATAGCGTGTCAGCTCTACGGGAAACAGTCGCCTTAAAAGACGAATAAAGGCAGTTATTCAAAAAGAGCTGCATTCAAAGGCTCTCTTTCCTTAGTAAGCGTATTTTAGCTGACGTACCGCTAGTTAGCGGCAGTGTAGCTAGCAACAGAAGCTAGCCGCCTGCCTGTAGGGTAAGCTTCATTTAGTTTTAGCCAACAGTGATCCCACACTGTAAATGTAGCTGGCCGCTTGTGTTTGCAGTGTTTTAGTGAGGATTATAGATGTGTATTGTTAGTGTGATGACTTCTGTACATATTTGAAGTTCGTTGTTTGTTTTAAAATGATCATATCAAAGCTGTACGCGTTTACATATATAGAGATCAAGCCCGTGTCCCGCTGAGTTTGTTGGCATGAAAGAAAAACGATAATTAGATGGAAACTTCCGCAGAGGTGAGGGGGAGTTTTTGTTGTTGTTGTTGTGGAAGCCTGTAGATGTCTTTGTTTCTTTTTCCCTCCCTCCCTCGACACGGTTTGTGAGTTGAAGTTCCCACCCTGTGCCGCTAATCTTGTCGTAGTTAACAGCCGCCGCTCATGACTTTGGGGACGGTACACTCCACGTCAGAGAGGTCAGCTGACCCGTTCGCTGTTTTGAACGTAAGACTAACGTGAGATGCTACAGGAAGAGAAATAAACGGAAACTCGGCAGTATAATTATATATTATACATAGGGAACCAGGCTTAAACAAAAAGAAAGCCTAGTACTAAATGTGAGCAGTCTTTGTTTACAAAACGCTCATTACGACCACCCTCAGCCTTCTTTCCATGTTCGTATGTAAGTTAATGATTAAACCGCCAGAAGTAGGTTTTCTCTACATGTTGCACCAGAGGATTTGCAAGCAAAATCACATTGCTTCGACCAAAGATGCTTTCTTTGTTTACTTGCATTTGACATTTCACGTGAAGTGATCTGACATTAAGAATTAACTTTAATAAAATGGTCTGTGAAGGTTCTCAGATGAGAGGTGAAACGTCTTCAAGCAACCTAACGTCCAGATGCTTTTCTTTCCAAGCTCCTTAGCCTTTAATAAAATGCATTCTTAAAGAAATTTTGATCGAAGATTGGACACATTTGTTTCTGATCATCTGTTTCACGTACTTCAGAGGTGCATGGACAGAATTGTAAAAATAATTTTCCTCACATACAAAATCTAGAATAATCAGATCCCTTCATATTTATGACCTCATGGTAAAAGTCCTTACTTGTGTTTCATAGTTTTTAAAACTAGAAAGGGAGGCAGAGCATTAGGGTATCAGGCCCTTCTGCACCTCTCGCTACTTTCAAGATTTAAAACTTTGCTTTTGCATAAAGCATACAGTCATGACTGGCAAAAGTGACCCTGAAACGGTTTTCCACGATGACTGAGGGTTTCTTCTTCACTCAGCTCTTTTCACTCTGTGTATTTATACACCACTACTGCATTTAATCATTAGTAATTATTAAACTTGGCCCACTCTTTCCCATAGCTTGTCCTTTGTCATGTCTCTCTCTGCTCTCTTCTCTTACCCATCACCCACCAACTGTCTCAGTGGATTACTGCCCCTCAGTTAGTCTGGATCTGTTGGAGGATCTTGTTAAAAGGGAGTTTTTTCTTCCCATTGTCTCCGAGTGCTTGCTCATAAGGCATCATCTGATTTTTGGGGTTTCTTTATAACATTTTAGGGTCTTTAGCTTACAGTATAAAGCCCTTTGGGGTGATTGTTGTTGTGATTCAATTAAATGGTAAGGATGAAGTCTTGGTGGCATTTTCATTGTACTTTTTGCAGATCCATCCAGCTGATGGGTAATGTGAAGACTTTTACTCTACATAATGTGTTTATACTTCCACTGTTCTTATTAGTGGCCTCTTTTTAGCCCCTGTCAGGCTGGATTGTGATAATAATATAATCTCATATATCAGATTTAATCACGGGAGCTTTAATGTCTGCTATCAGTCAGACTTCACTGATGCAATCCCTTTAGGCTGGACTGTAACAGGGTCACATGGCTCATAATAAAGCTTGATGGTGCTGGTGCTCAACTGGAGTATCTCTAACACTCATGTATACTGCAGTTATAGAATAGATATCGTTAGGGGAGTTTCAGTGGTGATAAATCTGTAGACTCTTATTCTGAGTGTAAAGATGGATGTGAGTAACTGCTTGTTTGAGGTTTCTTTCACTTTAATGCAACCTTTGCATCAGCGGTAGAAATGTGCATTAACTCCAAACTCTACTTAAGATGCTGTTGCAAAGAGAGTTTGCCTTTATGTTTTTAATAAGTGAATATAAATATATTTTTTTCAGGGAAGAATAGGGTTCAAATTGCCCAGAACCTATTCCATTATTGAGATGATATTGCAGCATATCTAGCTACAGATTAGAATGTGCAAAGGGAGTGAATGGGCCCAATCATTATTTATGGTTGACTAACAGATTGACAGACTTTTCATTTGGCACATCCAATCTACAGCGCTCTGATGCAACGGAGGAGTAAGAGTAGAGAGCAGTGCTGGTCTTAGATTGTACTTTCAACAGAATACCTGAGCTTTAAATGGTGGAAACAGAAAGTGGTGAGAAGGTGATGCAGTCTTTTTCATCTCTGTCTCTGGATGTTGTGGACTGTGTGCAATTTAAGTTCTGAAACTTCCGTTGGGCTTAAACAGATAGCACCCAGTCACATTCAGAGAAACCCAAGTGCCTGCTGAAACCTGCTGTTCACTGTTTGAAACTGAATACTGAAAGCTCTTTGAATGGTCTCATTTAATTATTTTCATATTATTATAGCCAAAGGCATTCTGTGATTGGTTTAATGTGTGTGGTTGTTGGCAGGATTAAAACAAATTGAAAGGTTATGAACAGAATATTATTATAGTTTTTTTTAAATTGTAGTATTGGAGAAATTTGAAATTTTGCGTCATATCTTAGAGGGAAGAAAAAGAATGCAATAAGAAATAAATGTCTGAAATTGTCTTGCTGCTAAAACATTAGAATCCAAGTATCTAGGGACTGATGCATAGCCTTTGCAGAGGTATGCAGTCTCAGGCACCTGTTGTTGTCTTTAGAATCTCAAAGTCAAACTGAAACTCGAGTGTATTTATAAAGCACATTTAAAAACGGCTGACATTGACTAAAGTGCTGTACAAAGGCTAGAATGGTTAAAAAACATAAGAAATAAGTCAAATACATGTTAGTAGGTAAACGCATACAGTCGTGGCACACAAGTGTGCGCGTGTGTGTATGTGTGTGTGGGTGGGGGGATATATGTGTATTGAGAGTGTGGGGAGTGAGTTGGAGGGTGGAGTGGGCTGCTTTTAACTATGTAAAGCACTTTGTGCTACATTTTTTCTGTATGAAAAGTGCTTTATAAATAAAGATTGATTGATTGAAGATATCAGTGAGTGAATCAAACAGACTCAAATGCCAATAAATAAAAACAAGGTGCAAACACAGAGAGTGCACCTGTCCTCAAAGTTTAAATCCAGAGTGGGGAACAGTGAGAAGCACTTGATAAGCTGATGTAAATCAGATCTATTTTCAAAAAAAATCAAAATTAGGGGTTGTGTTATCCCTGTATTTTACACCACATTTTTTAAAATGAAAGGTTCTCAGGCAGCTCTTTTTTGTAAATGTAAATATTACATTACAGGTTCTTAAGCTAATCTGTGGCCACTACAGATTACGTAGAGGTGTTGTGGGATTTCCACGTGAAGCGATTTGTTGTGACAGGTAAGTGACAGCTCTGACTGTCACTTTGGTAGTTTAGCTTAGCTTGCATAGCTTGCTATGGAAGCAGAGTGAGGTTGAGCACCCAGAATAAAATAAAATGCAACAAGATGCTTCTGCAGCAGTCTTTCCTGCTCCAAGTAAGATTCCACTTTAAGTCTGTTTATGCCATATTTAACTGTTTTATACACAGTGGCTGCTGTTTTTGGAGCCAGCACAGTCACTGTGGGAAAATAAAAATCAGTTTCTCCCTTCATTTTTTCATTTCTTATTTATTATATATTGTTGGATATATTTTAACATATTATCATAAAAAATGAGAAATTGTAGGTAGCAAGTATGCATGCAAGTTTTCAGTGCTGTCTGCCAAAGTCACAGAGATCAAGAAATTCTAACATGACTTCTTGTCCAAATGCTTTTTTTATACAACTCAAAAATTGTACTTTATCTGCTTTATTCCAGGAGGATGAGTTCACTGGATTTGGGATGACAACAGTTCGTCCACAAAAGGCTTCTGCTGCTGTTTCTCATTCGTCACTCAGCCAAGAAAAGTCTCCTAATGTTTTGGACCAATCACAAGAAGCAAAGCCTCTTATTGGAAAAATTATACCCAAGACCCCAAAGCCAGGTCTGATTGGAAAAATTGTACCAAGAGTTCCTAAAGAAGACTTGGATGGTAAAGAGAGCGAAGAAAAAGAGAAGGAAATACCAAAGCATGTAATCAAACTACAGGGAAAGCAGGTAGTTCTCACTGCAAAAGCCAAACATGCAGACAAGCAGGCCTCAGGTACACAGAGTGGTACAAAATCACCTGATATTTTCAGAAAAGCAGGAGAAACGGCACATTCAGGCGTGTTAAATCAAGCAGCTGGTACCTCAGCTGGTGGCACCAAGCAAGGCAAGTCAGCAAATGCTGTGACGGCAGCAGTTAAAGGCACAGAAAGAGCTCGAAGGAGGATCAAAGAAGAAGGCGAGGTGTCAGAGGACTCGGATAGGGACCAGTCCCTGACGCGGAGGTCTGTGAAACGCGTCAAGGGTTTTGAAATTGGGCAGCCTCGACGCACATCTCATCTGATGCCTTTGCCGTTTGCATCTTTTCAGAAACGACAAAAGAAGAGGTTTGCTAAAGGTATGGGTGCCTCTCCTGAGGCTGGAGCTGAGGCTGGCGCCCAGAGCGGGGTAGAAGCGGCGATGCCCCTTGAGTGTGAGGCTGCAGATGTTGTTGAAAAAAGAGCACACAGAAGACATCAGCGCAAATCTGTGTTTGGCTACAGGAGGAAGACAAAAAGTCTTCCACTCATTAAGGGGCCAAAACTCGGTCGTCCTCGTACTAGGCGTGTTTTTTATACCTACGAGCCAGAACCCATTCCAGCCACAGACACACAGGATGGCAACGAGCTGCTGATCCAAGATCAGAATGTTACTCCATCGGAGAATAAGGCAAAGCCATTTTCAGAGGAACTAGGCCAGAGCTCCAGTAACTCCTGCACTCCATTAACGAGTGGACGGTCTTCCCGAGTGATTAAAGCTCCAAAGAGATTCTTGGATGAGGAAATGATTCCTTTTCCGAAGGGCCCTCTGTCAACATGGCTGAAAAGTCAACAGAAAGAGGATGGAAAACCAAGTGCATCCATTCTCGAGGCAGGTTATGAAGGCAAATCGCTACAGTCGGACAGTGACTCTAGATCTCTTTTTGACAGCTCGTCAGGCATGTCAAGAATCTCAAAGCCCGGCCCAGGCACGAGCCACCTGGAGTTCTACAAGAACCTCAAGAAACTGACGTTAAAACTGGCAGAGAAAAAGAAAGGACCATCTGACATTCATGGAGATTATGCACAAGATGGTGACAGTTTGACCTCTCATGTCAGGAAAAGACGGAGGTCCAAACTCATGATGGAGGAGTTGGACTCACCTGGTGTTGTGAGGAAGCTAGCTGTGGTGGTCAACACTGATGTGGAAACGCCCTCGCAAGTGCCATCAGAAGATGGAGATAAAGGAAACAAGAGTAAGGATAAGTTGTATAATTTATGAAAAACTTGTGGTGTATAATATTTAAAACGTTAGTATTTATTTATCAGTGCAATTTGGATTATATTCCATAAAGATAAAAATAAATGTGATTGTTCCACTGTATAGTTGTATTCTTCAGTGAAGAGGTGTTTGCTTGTAAATCCTCTAATTGGAGTCAACTTTTTATCCTGTTTCAAATGGGGTTTGGCGCAGTCGAAGCACCAAAAGTAACAGCGGACAGTTGCGAGGGGCCAGAAGTCAGTGGGCCCAGCCATCGACTAGGTCTCAGTGGAGCCAATAAGAGGATGCTCCACCTGCTGAAAAAAGCCAAAGTCCAGCTCATCAAGATTGATCAACAGAAGCAGCTGAAGTTGTCACAGGTAAGAAATTCTCTCTGTTTCTTTTAATGAGCCCCTCGTATGGTTTTTTTATGTTGCCCCTCATTTCATGTCTATGCTGCCTGCAGTTACTGTGATTCAACTGTTCAGGGTAACTGAGTCCTCCTATTCTATATATTGGTGAGAGAATAACCATCATCTCCTCAGTATAAAGAAGAATAATCATAGCATCAATATAAAGACTCAAGAATGTCAGAAAAGTCCTGAAGAGAGAGTGGACGCAGGGAAAATACAGAAAATTAGAAAAAACTTGAGGTGTGAATATGTTTGGGGGAAAGTACCAGCATTTTATTTGTTTCTGTTGTGGCATGTAAAACACCAGGATACGGCCACAAGATAATTAACATATAACCATAAGCGCTAGCAACAACATCGACAAGTTACACGTAGGTTGTGCAGCAGAGGTCTAAATCAGTCGTCTGATGCCTGTTGGAGCACATTTTTCCTCTGGTTTTGCTTTTGCTTTGTTTTTTGTTTTAATGGTGACAGCAAAGAGGTTGTAGATGCACTATCCCCACCTTGTATCAGAGTTTTGCTGTATATCCTACCAGGAGATGGTAAAAAAACAATACCTATACAGGATTTTCCCAGAAGCTGACAGCAGGCGTTGTGCATGTTTGCGTGATTGTGCCAAACAGTCTCGTTTAACAGAATTCCATGTATTTTACTGATTTAGCTTTATGAATGAATTAAATTTGACTTAAAATAGTTCTGCTGTTTGTTTCATTTTGTTTGTTTGCTTGCTTTGCAAGTCCAAAACCTCTGTGGTAGGTGCTAATTTATTTGTATACAGTAACAAACGTGATATATACAAAACATATATAACTTAACCATCTTTTATTACTGACATGTTTGGTTTTTCAAGGCTGTAATTCTCTGATTATTTGTTTGTTATCTAGTCAAATTGAATATATTATTTGCATTGTTTACATAAAGCACATTAAACAGATGTCAGTTGTAGAAAAACCTCTGGAAAATTTTAATGGGCACTTTTTACATTGTTTCTGTATTTATTGTATTATGAAAACAATTCACTGAAACAATCAACGTGAAAAATGAGAGGTAAAAACTCAAGTGTTCTCACCTAATTTTACATGTTTGCAGCACAGTTCGGGACCTGTTCAGTAGACCGTCCTGATTACTGACCAATAGCAATAAAACTGATATGACATCTGCCAGAAGCTTAGGGCTTTTCAGTTGTGATGCTTGTGATTTAGCCATTTATTTGAGAAGCTAATGACGTAGTATCTTTTAAATGAGACCTTGATTTTCCTGTTTGTTTGAACAGTTGGGCTCTAGAGAAACACGAATGCCAGTGAGTGGAAGGAGGAGGAGGAGGAGAGTTGGCCTGCCTCCCAAAGATGTTGCTCGTCAGGTAATAAATGTGCATTTCTTTCTTCTTCTTTTCTGTTAATCGCCAATACTGGTATCATTTTTCATTAACTAAATATTACCTGAGTTCACTGAATTTGTATGTCTCTGTATGCAGGAGCAGCCTCTTGGTGGTCCGAGGATCAAACACGTGTGCCGGGCAGCAGCTGTGGCTTTGGGGCAGCCTCGTGCCATGGTGCCAGATGACATTCCCAGACTCAGCGCTCTGCCACTTCACGAGAGAGAGGGCATCACCTTTTCTCCCGCAGCTGAAGGTACAGTCCACCTCCATGTGTAGTTTTTAAGAATGGAGTTGTTAACGTTCCTTTAAAGATATCTCTGCACTGTGTATGTGCAGCAATTTTTATTTAAGGCTTGAAAAGAATGAGGGACTGACACTTCAGATATTATTCAGTGTTTTTTAGTCCTATCCCTGTTAATGTATAAGAGACACAGTTTATATTTTAAGTGTCAAAACCATAGACTGTGTAAAAGCTGGACATGGCTACCATGAATGTCACTCACTGGTTTGAGGTGAGCCTTTTTTTAGGTGTTCTGTAACTGGATATAATGACCGAAGGGAGTACCTGACTTTGAAACCACAGACTTACTAGTGAGCTTATCCTGGATAACCCTTTTTTTCGTAACGCTTACAATAACCAACATTTAAAAAGTGGGCTTAGCAATGTATTTTTTCCCCCCATTATTATGAAAGGAAATGAATGACTGAGCCAATAAAGTTGTAGCCACAAAGAATGCCCCCTGGTGGTTGTTATTAAAAAATACAGGCTTAAGGCACTTCCCCATTGGCTTACTTTTTTCTGAGCTGGAAGCTCTGTTTGGTTTTTCTGCTGTCTATGGTCAAAACAAATGCAAACTAAACTTACTTTGCATGAAAAAAGGTGCGTGTCCTTTCCTTGAGAGATGCACAGCAATATATATATGAGTAAATACATGCCTTTGGTTTTTTACGGGCATGAGAAGAATAAACTGAAGCTGCTGATGTGCTTGATCAGAGTTTCTCAGTCTTTTCGGATGGTTGAAATGACAGAAACTAATAATAAACAAATATTAAAAGTAGAGTTTCCTTAAGAATATCCACAGGTCATGAAAGAATAAGCTTTGAAATCAATTTCCAAAAAGCCATAGGAGGTATTAAGTCTCAAAGGCTTAAGTATTGACTGAATTCAAATGCATATCATGGTATCTGCTGTGTTTTGTAGCAGTTATTTCAGTTCAAATGTTTTTGAATGTGCTCACTGTTAGGAGGACTGTTGCCACAGTCCTATTCAGTCCTTTTTATGGAGTTTCAGACAACTCCGTCACTCCTGCAGCAAACACTGCCACTACTGTGGCAGTGTTTGGGAGGAGGCAAGTGGCTCATGTTATTATTTTAGCATCCACTTACTCAGGTTAATTTAGTGGATTTTGGATGATATTGGCCCAGTATTAGCACAATGTGGATAAACTGGTGTCTGCACATCTGTCAGCTAATGCAAAAAAGGGGGAGTACAGCACATTAAAGTAGGGTGATTCCACAGATAAGTTTTGAAACTTTGTCACCTTGTTGTTGTTGTTGTGCCACCAGTGAGCTGTTGTGATATCCCATCATATTTTATGGTTATGAAACATAACAAGAAAAAAATGGAGAAAGAAATTTGAGGTACTTGAATCATAAATTTCTATTAAAGGTTATATGAAAATGTTGGATTTTATATCCTTCTTACGTTTTTTTGCATCACAGTACCTATAGGGTTACACCACCAGCTACTGCTTATGTATAGTTGGTGTTACTACAACCATGCAGTAGTCAGGATTAGTATTTAATTCACAAACTGACTGTAGTAATATAGATTGACTCTACTGTATGTAACCCTGCTTTAAGGTTGGGTAGGGTAATTAATGTTGTCTGCACGGATTTGGCAAAAGGTGCTCTGCTATTTTATTAAAAATGAAATTCTAATAATGAAATGAACTAAAATATTCGGATCCAATCTGACTAGCAAAGCTTCTGCACTTCTAAACAAAAAGCCTAAATAAAAAACAATTATGAAGCATAATTTTGATACATTTTGGCAAAAATTAACATGTAAGGCAAAAAAAGTAAAACATGCTTTTTTTTCTTAGCTCAATGTAGTTGTAACTAAAATATTTTCCAGCAAAAATATCTCTTGTCACACACAGATTAGCCACCGCTGTTGGAAAGCTATACCCAACACTGGTCAAGTGAGCATCACTCAGTATGAGGTGAGGAAGTACTGTTTGACAAACGGACTCACTGAACACTACATCTAAACCAAAAAGTGATCCTTTCACAAGCTTATTCATGCATTATTTATTTAAAATTTCAATAAGTTCGCACGTCTAAGTAATTTTTCCTTTTTTTTTTCTTTTTTTTTTTCAAATGTGTGCAGTAGCATTGAAATAATACAACTGGGGGATTCAAGAGGATGCCTGTAAGTTTGAAACGGGTTACCGTACATAAGGGAGTTCCCACCCATAAAGGATTTTGTCTCCAGTTTTCATCCAGTCACCTCATTTTTATTGTAGAGCATCTTTAGATTTCCACCTCTCCAGACAAAAGGGAAGAAAGGTCTGTACTCTGTTTGGCTCCAAGTAATAATTAAATTCTTAAAAAATGTAATCCTCAGGAAGTTTGTTAAAGAGACAAAAGACCAGCACTAATCGATAAAAATCAGCGTCACCTGTTGACTAACATGTTCGCAGGTCTACAAAAAAACCAATCGCCACCAGATATGGGCTGCAACAATTCATTGAGTAATTCGAATGTTTCGATTATTTAAAAAAGAAAAAAAAATCATTGACACACGTTGTTTGCTTCAATGTTTTGTTCAACACGTGGCTCTGTAGCGTGCCGATGTGTCAAAAAGATTGACAACACAACAGCAGCAGTGATGATGAGGCTGGAGCCAGAGTCTGTTTACACACCGAGGAGAGCAAAGAAGTGAAGCCGGTACAGAGATGGTGAGCTCAGGTTACGTGAAAGAAAACCTGTTTCTAGTGTCCAAACACCATCACTGTTCCTGTGATCACCATTAAAACATTTACTGGGAAAAATCCACCGGTGTTTGTTTAACACAGAGAAAAATCTGCAGTAAGGCGATATCAAATTATGCAGATGAACAGTTTTTTTTCACAAGCCAGTAAAAATGTACATGGGCCAGTAAAAGTCTGAGTAGCCAGTGGCTGACCTGTGGGCTGTTGTTTGTTTGACTTTGATCTCTGACCTTGGGATTATAAATATTTATTTTTGGTTTAAGACGGTGTTTTCTTTGGAAAAAAAATTCAGTTTTAATATGGCACATAGATACATTCAAAAGCTTTAATTATTGTTGTTTTGTTTGTTTGGTTTTTTTGTTTGTTTTTTACAGCTGTTGTATGCAGTTAAACTTTAAAATGCTGTAATTTCTAAAATGAACAAGAATGAGCAGCTCTGAAAAACCTGGATTTTGTTCTCTATTGAATATTTATAATTGCTCATTAATAAGAGAAAATTATTTTTATCCAATTAATCAATGCAGTCATCGATAGATTACTTGATTACTAAAACAACTGATAGCTGTCGCCCTACATGTGATTGCAAAAACAACAGAAGATGAGGGCTTCTCCATTAATGCAGTGGGTCTCATTCACTAATATGTACACTGAAATATGTCCAAAATTACTGTTTGACTTACAAAACATTCTCAACAATTCCCACAGCGGGCTCACTGCGCCCTCATTTCTCCAAATAACAAAACCTGTTTCCCTCGAGGTGACGAAGAGAAAGAAGTGAAGCCTCTCTTGCAAAAACCCAGACGATGGTCCAGGTTTCTTGTAAGAGAGAGAGAAGCATGCACAGCTGGATGTGGTGTGAAAGAAAGTCTGAAGAAATTGAAATAAGTTTCTGAAGAGGAAGCCAGATGAGTTCAGAAGTCCTCCTCTGGGAGCAACAATGGCTAAAATAAACAAAGGATGATAATAATAATAAATACAGCTTTTTAATATAATTTCCTCTGAATAAAATACAATGTCACGCAAAGTTGATTGGAAGAAAACCCAAAACTAAATTAAATACTCCATTTAAAAAATAAGTAAATAGGTCAGGAAGCACCAGCCTATCTCATGGTAGGATAATGACAAGAAATTAGATATCAATTGGTGACATCCAGCAAGTGACTAATTTCTTAAAAGCAGGGATGCAATTGTCCAGTGGACTATTACCAAAGCAATATCCAAGGGATTCATTACAGAAAGATATACAAGACAGAATCCTGTACAAGATTTATTTAACTTTAAAAAAAGAAGAAAAAAAAAGAAAAATGTTTGGATGTAACAGAAAAGGCGAATCCATGGAGGAAAAAAATCAAGTTATATGTAAGTATGTTTAAAACATGATTCACAATTTAGCATTCCTGCAAAAGAATCAGTCATCATAGGAATCAGAAATGGTGACATGGTACAAAATATGGAGCGAAATGGTGTGCAGACCTTGTTTTTTCCCTTGTTTGCAACACTTTTTGGGGGGGGTTAGGAATTAGAAAAGTTTGCCTTGATGTGCACACACTTGGTCTATCAACTCTTCAGACAGTCGTTAAAAGAGAGTAGCTGTACAAGTGCAAACCAAACAACAGTCCATTAAGTGTAGAGTGGAAGACGTTAGATCTGCAGGCTGAATAGTGAGATATGGTGTCCAAAGATGTCACCCCCAGCACATCGCATGCACATAATGGTGACGCAAATGTGTCCTATGGCTCTTTTACCCGGCCTCTCTGTCTCTCGCCTTCAGATGTGGCAGATGATGACGATGACATCACTGATCAGGGCAGGACCCAGTGGGTTGTCTCTCAGGAAAGCATCCAGCGCAGGAGGCGAGGGAGGGGCAAGGGCCACAGGTTCAGGAAAAGGAAGATGCTGAGTCAATATACTCGTGGAGGAGTGCGTTCGAGGCGCTGTGGACGCTGCAAAGGCTGCTTGGTGGAAGAGGACTGTGCCAAATGCATCAACTGCCTGGATAAGCCCAAGTTCGGGGGGCCAAACACCAAGAGGCAGTGCTGCATGTGAGTGAAGCCCATCACAGATTTGCATTATTGTGCTTTACATGAAAATCATGACCTTTTTCATATACAGATAAGCCTTTAATGGAGTTTTACTGAATGCTTAAAAGGCATTTGAATTATTTGCCAACACTCACATTAAAGGAGCTGGCTATATAAATGTATATATAAAATATATTTTACTCAACTCTTGTATTTTCATTTATATGTATGTTCCAGCTCTATAACCTGGAATAATGTTGCATGTCATCTTGAACAAAGCTAGATACGGCTGCTGTATAGGCCCTAATTTCATATACTGACTGAGTTTGACTGCAAGAAGATAATTTGATTTCCATTACATATTGATTTAATTTAAACTAAGCCAGCCTGAAAGCTGCATGTTCTCATCACAGACTGAATAAGTACAGCTCCAAACTATTGCTGTAAAGGCAAGTTATCCAGCTGTTTGCGGAAAATCATTCATATATTTGGTCCACAAATTAAAAATGAACCGCGCTACATGTTTTAATTGGTGCCTAAAATACTGTGTACCTTGTAGATTTAGAAATTTCTTGTACATGAAACATAAAAAAATACTTATTTCTTTTCAGTAACGCATATTAAAGAACTCAGTTAATGAAGGCAAGTTGACTCTTTGAGTTAAACACATTTATAGATGGGTACACTTGAACTTTGCCCTGGACACACACTTATGTTTTTCCATTTTTTCCCCCTTCTAGATATAAGAAGTGTGACCGGATTGAAAAAGCAAAGATGGCGCGGATTGTGAAACCATTTAAAGGTATGTTTTTATTTTTGGATATACATTTATTTTTTAGTTGAATCTAATAAGTTTGAATGACTACTCTGGTTTAAAAGCTTGTGTACATAATTAATCAAGGGGCTCCTTTTTCTCAGTCCAGGCGAAGGGGTTTTTGGGCTCCGTTACAAGCAGTGACGATACAAACTGGACTTCTGGAAAGCCGGCCGAGGGAACGTCCTCGATGACGCTTGGAGTCAGGAAGCATTCACTGCGTAACATCACACCGCGCTCTTACAGTAGTCTGCTTAAATCAGAATCTGAAGACGAGGAGGACGAGGAAGAAGGAGAGGACAGGACAGATAAATCGACAGTAAAGCCAAATGTAGCTGCTGCCAACAATCAAGGTAACTAAAGCTTTGGTTTTGGCACACAAGCCTCTGAGTGTCAAGTCTGAATTTCACTCCATTCTTTATTTAAGCAAATATTTATCCTGCATAAACGTTTCATGAACGACTCGCACAGAAAAACAGGCGCAGCATGATGTAAATCATCACAACGCCTGATATTGTTTGTCAGCAGCTAATGATTGTGAAGCAATTTTGGTGATATTTTCTCCATAATTCCAGCTGTGGCTCTGAGCCACACGGAAACACCAAAATAATTCCTGAATTAATTTCATAGCAGTTTTGATCTACATGATAACTGGAACTTATCTATTTAAAAATATAATAACGCTGAGATGTCTCAGAAATTGGCAATTTGATATTACACCACAGACTTAGTAAAAGAAAATCAAAACGCACGGCACAAAGTTGTAAATGGCCTGCATTTGTATAGCGCTTTTCTAGTCCATAGGACCCCGTGTAGCTTGTACTCCTTCCTCTGGCAGCATGCATGCATCAAGCAGGTTGAAAGGAGAGCAGATGCCAAATCTACTCGATTACTTTAACTCCAAGTCTCAGAGCCCCTGAAGTTGTAAGTTGATGTTTTTCCAGTTCAGATGTGTTATTTCTGATTTTCCAGCTAATTTTAAGGTAATGTTGACTGCCCTGTTGGTAACTTAGTTGAGGTAAACATGATTTGTAAAAATCATAACAGTACGCACATATGCAAGATATGTAGTGAATATACACAAACCTTTGAATATGAGCTGTTGAGTTCAAGGAGTTCATAAATAGATGGAAATAAATATGTCAGTTTACCACTAAAGCTCATCGGGGGCTCGGGTCCAAGTGCATCCTGGGCCGTTTCCCCAGTTAATTTTTAAGAATGATTTCTTTGTGCATCCTCCAATAATCTAAATATTAGAAGCACAGAATCCCTCCTTGCTCTGAGCCCTGATATTGTTTGAAACCTCTTTTGTGTCAGCAGTTTTTCTTAGATTTGTGTATCTGTGTTTTTTTTGTTTGTTTGTTTGTTTGTTTTTTTGAGATCTTGCTTCTCAAGATGGTGGATCAGTGGCAGACGACCCAGATGCAGGGAAGCATCGCCGGCTGCCTTCCAGAGGAGCTGGCAGCAGAACCAAAGCTTACAAGGTAAAAACATGTTTCCCTAATCCGCCTCTAATAGACCACCTAATGGAGCCTGGGACAAACAGTACTGTTTGGAAAAGTTTACCTTCATACCTGTCAGTATTTCTAGACAGGTGTTTAGTTTTCTTTATTTTCTTATTTTAAATATTAATAAAGCTTATCTTAATTCATTTATTTGATTATTATTTCCTCTATAATTTAACTAAATATTTAACCCTCAAGTCACAATTGAAACACTTATTTCCAAGTGGTGCTTTTGTCCAGCTCTGAATTTCATTTTTCAGTTTTTCCACTGTTTCTTAGTTAAACCACGTCTGTTGGGATTAAAAAATTCCTTAAAGAAGTCTTGTAGCCCCGTTGATCTTCTGTTTCTCACTTCCAGCTTTTTATAAGACCCTTTGCATGTACTCCGTCTGTTTCATAAATTATGGATCAATCAAGCTACGTCCGGGATAATCTACAGCATGCTTTTTTTTTTTTTTTTTTTTTGGTAGCACCGTGAGTGATATTCTGTTTGAAGAACAACATCATTGTCTCATTTAGCACCATTAGTGAACTTGTTATCCAAGCATGATGTTGGTGTGGGGAAGGAAAGTCATGCCCCTCCTGTTATGCGTGTTTTACTCTCTGGAGTCTTAATGGTGGTGTTTTTTAAAATAAAAAAAATATCTGCAGGAAGACGCTGAAGAAGATTCTTTTGTCCAAAGTCAAATATTTTCTTCAACGTAGAGGTGCTTCTTTAAAATTGGTAATAACTAATATTCAGGAGTCAGTACGGCAGTTTGTAAATAGTGACGGAAGCCTTTTTGTGTCAAGTGTTTAGTTTAACTGGGACTGCGATTGCCTTAATCAACACAGCAAATGTGTAAAAAGTCAGCAATGCCTCCTCCCACCCCTGACTTCACAGCTAAAAGGCTGTTTGCTTTGTCTTTATTCGGGCTGAGATGATTCTTGGTTATGCCGCTTGCTTCTTCTTACTAGCATTTGACATTTTCAAACTAGAGCTGTCAGTTTCGAAATTGTTCCTCTCAAATCTTGTTTTGCTGGCTTGAAAGAATGGTCTATTGTCAGTAAAAAAAAAATTGTTTTTGCTTCTGCATTGCTTCAAACTTCTGCATTTTTTTTGTAATCTCTCACTTCCCCCATAAAGCTGAGAACAGATATTCTTGAAGTGTAGTCCTGTCTTGTCTGCATTTGATGTTTTGCAAATTAGTAGCCCTATTTTTAGCAGATTATATGCACAGAGATGCACTGTGTGGGTGGGTGGGGGGGCACCCGGCAGCACTTGTAGACATTACAGCAGGAGTATTTGCTGTGCTATCACTAATCTGCCAGATTATGCTGCTGTGGCTCGTTGCATGAACCATTTTTTGGTAGTGGGTTGGTTTTTACATGTGACACAACAGGTGCATTATCTCTTTAATTTCATAGAATTCCCAAGTGTAGAGATGGAACTATGCAAATCCATAATTTATGAAATGACCTTTATTTATTCTGCATTCCAGCTTACACACCTGATTTGTTAGATAAATTATTAGTTTGTGTGCATTGTATAGCAGATTAATTTAAATTTCACCAAAATATTTGTTTAGTTTTGTGTTTATGATTTTTCTAGCTCTTAAAATAGTGTGTATTAATACTCAGTTAACGCTTCTGTGTGTGTTTCTGTACTGCTGCTGAATGCATACACTTTTAACACTGCTTCCCGGCTAACCGTCTTCTAAAAGTCGCAGTGCTCCTTCCGTTTTCTGTCATTTTGGCTGTTGCCGGTTGCCGCCGCTGCATGTCACTACTATCAGTGTAACTTTGGTACATCTCTTGCTGGTTGGCTTAGGCAGTCCCCTCCTCCACAGGCACAGGAGAGCGCAGAAGAGATGGAGGCCAGAGAAACTTTCCCTGAGCCCAGACCACCCTGGACCCCAATGCGGCAGCTACAAATACACTTATGCCGTCTGCCTGACTTTGTCCTGCAGTCTCCTGCTGTGTATTTGCTGCGGCAGTCGCCCCAACATGATGATGTGGATCGGTGTATTGCACAGTCGCATCCACAGTTGTCTCATCTTGCAACACAGCCTGCTTTTTCCCATTTGTCATGTCCCATTACAAACTGTCCCCCAGAAATATCCCATCCTGAAACACAGCCTGCTTCTCCACTTTCACCTCATCCCATTAGAGACTCGCCACAGAAATCTTTGTTGTTACGTTTGCAGCGTTTGCCCCAGTCCGTGGTGCAGTCGGCCATGCATTCGAACAAATATGTGTCATCACCACCTCAGCAGCATCCACAGTCCACGCTACACTCGGCTCTGATTCAGGTTTCATCACAGCAGTGCTCTCATGGGCGTCCAGGGTCTGAGGTGGAGCACACAGAGACGCACAGAGCTAAGACAGATAAAACTCTGAGCAGAGTTGTGCCTGGCCCCCCTCAGACTGTCAGTGCAGGCGCAGAATTACAGGAGGACGCACAAGACGAGCAGGAGGAGCGACGACTGGAGCAGGCTGAAGAGGACAAGCTGGATTCTTCTGTAAAAGAGACAGTGCTGCAAAACTGTCCAACAACTGACCCACACTCTGTCCTTCGTTCCCAGAATCCTGCAGAGTGTACGTCAGTGAACACCCCGACAGGGTTAACTAACGGATTTCCCCAAAAGGGCCTGTCGCAGAACACGTACAAGATCCGTGTAGACTTCAAGGTGAGTCTCAGCAGCCTGCTTGCTTTACAACTCATTGGGGTGTGTATTTACTCTACAGTGTTACCTTTCAGCACCACCGTTATCGCTTTCTCTCAGGAGAGCTCATTCCACCTTAAGATCCCCACATAGCTGTAAAATATAACTGATCTCAGACTGAATGCCTCAGGAGGTTCTTCATAACAGCTGCTATACAACTGCTTAATGCACAATAATATGATTTTATCCACATTTATTAAGAACTTTATGATAAATTAATGTTGCTTTGAGGTTTCAGATTTGTGCTGTTATCTGTGTCGAAGCTGCCATGCCGATATAATTTCCTGCAAAGGAATAATAAAGCATCCATCCATCTTCATCTATCTGCATAAACTGCAGGTTATTAAGTTTGTGTAGCTTCAAGTAAGGTGGTTGTTACATCTGTGGGCTTTGGTCACACACTGGAAAGTCATTTTTTATAGAAAGCATCATCTTTGGGAAAATGACCTTAGTGCTGACTTCATGTATGACATCAGCAAACACATTTGTAGTTAATAGTCTGAGTTACTGATTTCAGATTTTCTTTAATTTTCATTTTGTAGGTTATGGCTCAATTTAGAACCGTGTATATGAAAAAACAGTATGAGGCATATTCAGTTTACAAAAATAAAAAAAGGTCAAATGTCAAACTAAATTTTCCTTGCCATGTTTTATATACAGTTTAGGGGTCTGAGAAAATATCTCTGAGAGAAAAAGTTCATTTTCACTATGACGAACACTCTTCAGTTTGCTTTCAAACAAACATCAGTATTTTCATGCTGTGTAAATTACCATAATGGGAGGAGAAGGCAGCGGGGAATGTTTGTTATTTCAGCATATGGATGATCAGCCATGCTCCCATTCAGTTGTTACAAACCGGCATATGTTCATAACCTTGATACAGGTTAGTGAACTAATGTAGCACCTGGAAACCTCTGGAGAAGAGGCTCTGATTGCTTTGTTTGTGCTGTTATTGGGTGTCTGTCCACTAGGAGGACTGTGCGGTCCAGAATGTGTGGCTAATGGGCGGCCTCAGCGTTCTCACATCTGTCCCAACTACGCCTCAGCCCGTCTGTCTGCTCTGCGCCAGTAAAGGGCGACACGAGGTAAGCTGAGCTTGACTAGTTTGGCAAAGAATGCAAGTTGCTTATTTGGGTGCTCACGCAAATTGCTTGTTTTACATTTCAGTTATGTGACAAAAAACGAAATAGAAACATTTCATATGCATTCTGAATGTTGTTATTGTTATTTTTTTTTAACTCCTCTACCTCCCACTTCCATCAGATGATCTTCTGTCAGATCTGCTGTGAGCCTTTCCACAGTTTCTGCCTGTCACCTGAGGAGCGCCCCCTTGAGGAGAACAAGGAAAACTGGTTCTGCAGGCGCTGCAAATTCTGCCACGTGTGCGGACGTCGAAGCAAGAGCACAAAGGTGTGAATGAGGCGTAGCGAGACTTTATAATATCCCAAGAAGAAGAAGAAACAAGTTTGCAAACATTATCCACACTTATTAACTATTTTACACACACGAGATCTGAATTAAATTACATATTTATCAATTTTTTTGGTGTACATCATAGTCGAGTATTTACCCATAATTATTATACCTTTGTTTTTTTTGTCCCTTCACAGCCTGTGCTGCAGTGCAGGAGATGCCAAACGTCATACCACCCTTCATGCTTGGGACCAACATACCCTAAACCTATGAACTCCAGCGTCCCCTGGGTAAATGCATTAACAGCTTTAAAGTAATTAGGAATATATTCAGTTTATTTGAGGATAAATGTGACGATTTCATGACACCGTACATCACATATGTCTTTGTGCAGGTGTGTATGTCGTGCATTCGGTGTAAAAGTTGCGGCGTGACTCCTGGAAAGACCTGGGACTTGACGTGGAACCACGAGCAGGACCTCTGCCCTGACTGCACTTCACTCCACAAAAAAGGTAAGACTTCTGAGAGTTGAACTTGTATGTAAATATGCTTGAAATGGATGATGTGACTCGTCTGTGATTTCTGTTTACTTTACGTCAGGTCATTTCTGCACTATCTGCCACAAGTGCTATGAAGACAGTATCCAACCATCACAGATGCTTCAGTGTTCGCAGTGCAGCCACTGGATTCATTACAGATGTGAAGGGATCTCAGGTGAGTTGCACTCATAAAGTTTTCAGTTCAGTCAGTTTTTGTTCACTGTTTGTTGGATTTCATGTTTTCTCAGGCTGTTAAAAGTAGACCCCCACCCCCTCCACCCCTCTTATTGTTGTAATGCATCTATCAGTTACAAGGGTGAATACTCATACTTTAATAAGGCCACAATTTCAAATAATGACATCACATTACAGACAACTAATCCCTGTGAGATGAAAGCTCTGGTTTCTGGCTCTAAAGGCTTGATTTGAGACTTTTCTAACCCAAAGAGTGGATATAGAGACAGAGAATAAACTTGGGTGGCTTCACCAAAATAAATATGAATACATTTTACCAGTGAATTAATCAAAACTGAAAGTTTTCTAAATATATAAAGGCTGTTATGAGCTTGTTTTCTGAATGAGTGACTTATAAAACAGGACCAAACTATGGAGATAAAATGTGATTGCTGTTAACTTGCTGTGTAGAAACGAAGCTCTTCTTCTCTGTCTTTGCAGAGGAGCTTTTTGGGCTGCTCTCAAGTCAGCAAGGCAGAGTGGATTTTACATGTTCGCCCTGCAGTCAGCACCAAACCAGTCACAGCATCCTGAAGGTGGAGCTGCAGAGGAGGCTCACAGCCAGAGTGGAGGAGGTGCTCACTGACCTCCTCTCCTCCAACAGCACTCAGCACCTTATCACGTGTAAAACGGTAAGAGCTGCCCACAAGACTCTGAGAGGATGCACCAGGAAGCCTTTTTATCCTTTAAAATGCCACATTTTAGTATTTCTCCTTTAACGTCAAAGCCTGATTATGTTCCAGATGTGTCGCTGAAGTAGTTGTCCCTTACTGTCTTTCAGTGTCAGGAACCAAACATCACAGCATTTATCAGGGAACAGCAACCAGTCTGTGATCTACAAGCGGTTGAGAGGAGGTTTAAAGGGGGCGGATACACCTCAATAGTGAGCATATATATCCTATGCATTTACACTTAGGCTCTTTTTGTAGAACCCACACTGAATTAATGGCATTTTTTTCTTTTTTCCTGTCTCCCAATCAGAAAGCCTTTCATAGCGATATTGCTTCTGTGATAAGGCAAAGGCTGCAGGAAGAGGAAGCTCTGCTGGAAGATCAGAGACCGACCCTTCAGGCAATGTCACACTACGTTGAAGTAAGCACTCCCTTTACCATTCTCTAATTGCTTTTAATGTATTTTTTAGAGACCCAGACCTTAATTCATTTTGTAGGGAAACCTGTTTTTCCTCTGGATAAATCACAAGTTGACTAATACAGCTCCTTTCTCTCCAAGTTAAGCACTCGTAGCACATTCATACAGCGCTTTAGTCTATGCCTGAGCGCTTTTTCTAACATTCACACTTTTACTTTGATGGATACAGTGGGGCAAAAAAGTATTTAGTCAGCCACCGATTGTGCAAGTTCCCCCACCTAAAATGATGACAGAGGTCAGTAATTTGCACCAGAGGTACACTTCAACTGTGAGAGACAGAATGTGAAAAAAAAATCCATGAATCCACATGGTAGGATTTGTAAAGAATTTATTCGTAAATCAGGGTGGAAAATAAGTATTTGGTCAATAACAAAAATACAACTCAATACTTTGTAACATAACCTTTGTTGGCTCTCACAGACCTGTAACGTCTTCTGTAAGAAGCTTTTTCTGTCCCCCACTCGTTACCTGTATGAATGGCACCTGTTTGAACTCATCATCTGTATAAAAGACACCTGTCCACAGCCTCAAACAGTCAGACTCCAAACTCCGCCATGGCCAAGACCAAAGAGCTTTCGAAGGACACCAGGAAAAGTATTGTAGACCTGCACCAGACTGGGAAGAGTGAATCTACAATAGGCAAGCAGCTTGGTGTGAAAAAATCAACTGTGGGAGCAATCATCAGAAAATGGAAGACATACAAGACCACTGATAATCTCCCTCGATCTGGGGCTCCACGCAAGATCTCATCCCGTGGGGTCAAAATGATCATGAGAACGGTGAGCAAAGATCCCAGAACCACACGGGGGGACCTGGTGAATGACCTGCAGAGAGCTGGGACCAAAGTAACAAAGGTCACCATCAGTAACACACTACAACGGCAGGGAATCAAATCCCGCAGTGCCAGACGTGTTCCGCTGCTGAAGCCAGTGCATGTCCAGGCCCGTCTGAAGTTTGCCAGAGAGCACATGGATGATACAGCAGAGGATTGGGAGAATGTCATGTGGTCAGATGAAACCAAAGTAGAACTTTTTGGTATAAACTCAACTCGTCGTGTTTGGAGGAAGAAGAATACTGAGTTGCATCCCAAGAACACCATACCTACTGTGAAGCATGGGGGTGGAAACATCATGCTATGGGGCTGTTTTTCTGCCAAGGGGACAGGACGACTGATCCGTGTTAAGGACAGAATGAATGGGGCCATGTATCGTGAGATTTTGAGCCAAAACCTCCTTCCATCAGTGAGAACTTTGAAGATGAAACGAGGCTGGGTCTTCCAACATGACAATGATCCAAAACACACCGCCCGGGCAACAAAGGAGTGGCTCCGTAAGAAGCATTTGAAAGTCCTGGAGTGGCCTAGCCAGTCTCCAGACCTCAACCCCATAGAAAATCTGTGGCGGGAGTTGAAAGTCCGTGTTGCTCGGCGACAGCCCCAAAACATCACTGCTCTCGAGAAGATCTGCATGGAGGAATGGGCCAAAATACCAGCTACTGTGTGTGCAAACCTGGTAAAGACCTATAGTAAACGTTTGACCTCTGTTATTGCCAACAAAGGTTATGTTACAAAGTATTGAGTTGTATTTTTGTTATTGACCAAATACTTATTTTCCACCCTGATTTACGAATAAATTCTTTACAAATCCTACCATGTGGATTCATGGATTTTTTTTTTCACATTCTGTCTCTCACAGTTGAAGTGTACCTCTGGTGCAAATTACTGACCTCTGTCATCATTTTAGGTGGGGGAACTTGCACAATCGGTGGCTGACTAAATACTTTTTTGCCCCACTGTACATCAGGGCCAGTCTGGGTTCAATATCTTGCCCAAGGATACTTGCGAGGAAATGCCCATCCGTTTCATCTACCACCTGAGCTACAGCTGCCCCCTTTCTGTTCTCGTTGTCACATCCAAATGAACACTGTCCTTCAACATTCCTTAATTTTGGTCTTACTTCATTGTTTCATGCCTGACAGGTCATGGAAAAAGTATTCAGTTGGTGCAATGTCAAAAAGTGGAACTCGTTCTCAGAAGAACTTCCGAGGTAAGTGAATGCAGCTAAATATAATTTACTTAACCAATTTCATAAACGTCGTCATTTACAAGGTTGGCACTAAATTAAATCTTAATTATAATTAAAACGTCTGAAGACCTTGTAGTAGATGGACAGGTGCCTAAAATGGCTCTCTTCAGTTTGTTTTTATCCCCTCCTCTTTAGTGGCATGCTCCCCGAGGCAGTTCTCCCACCATCTAAAGAGCACAGCTATGCACAATGGCTGGAGAGAACATACCAGCTCAAAAACTCCAGGGACCCACAGACGGGGAAAACCGACTCATCAGTGACTTCACAGCAAACTCCTCTGAAATTACTTGGTATGGACGCTATTACAATCTGTTTTGCAGCACACTGAAGACAAAGCTAAAGGCACTTTCTTGCAATAGATCAGTCACATTCTCAAGTTTAAAATGTTTACATGATCCTCCAGAGATCACCAAGACTGAAGATGTGAGACAATGTGCCCTGTGCCAGCAATGTGGAGACTCTGCTCCCAGTGTGAGTTTTTATGTCAAGGCTTTTGGCTCATAGATCTTTTTTCCCCACTTAATTTTGGTGTTCTTTCATGCATTGTTTGCTCTGAAGGCATCAGGATAGACAGAAGTCCTCAAAATATTCAGCAAGTTTAAGTTAATCATTTTTTTAAGTTCAGGATAAGGGGAAAGTATCTCATTTTCACTGTTTTTGTTAAAGAAATGACTGATTATGTGAGGATGTATAGAATTTTTATTAAATTGTTGACCATTTTTTGTTTTCTTGGCACTATAATAACAGCTCCCTGATACTTAAGTGATATAACTGCTCTTTTCTCAACAGGAAGCAGGACGGCTCCTGTACTTGGGTCAGAACGAGTGGGCCCATGTTAACTGCTGTCTTTGGTCTGCAGAGGTGTACGAGGAAAACAGTGCTCTTCTTCAGGTGCACAGTGCTGTCTCAAGGGGGCGCCACCTGGTAAGATTAAATTAAATGGTAACTAAGGCTGTGCTTGACAGCTAGGTGTTCAGACGTTGCTGCTCTTGCTAGAAATACAATTCGTTAAATCTCATTTCATTTATGTGCCGGCACCTGTCTTTCTGATGGCAAGATGCAAACAAGCGAAGCAACGACAGCTGTCGATGGTCAAAAGTGGTCGCGGTACGATCACAAAAATGAATTCGAGACAGATGTTTCCACATAGAATAACGATCTGGTCAAACTTAACAAATGTGAAGAGACAGCTGCACCTTTATCCACACACAGACTTAACAAATTTAACAAATATAAATCTGAATTTGGGCACTTTTATTTTATTTATTTTTTTACCTTTTTCTGTCCTTCGATGTCAGCATTATAACTCTGCAGACAATCTGGCGTAAAGTCAATTAACTCCTTGGATGAGAAATGGTCCCACGAGGCAAAAGACCATTGAGATGCATGAATTCTTTCTCAAAATAATTTTGTTTGTTCAAATCGATAAACGGATATACAGTATTCCCCTTCAAGAAACTCTTAACAAGGAAATCCAGGCAATGTTTGCAAATCACCTAAACCTGACATTTAGGCCAATTATGTATCTTTAATTTGGAGGATTTTTTTTTATTTTTTATCATGGATTAAAAGTTGAGAAAAGACCGCCAGCTGACAGCCATTAAGCACCAAATGTTTGCTGAGAAGGAAGGAGGGCTACTTTTACATATATTTCTGTAACATTTTATCCAATACAAAGTGTCACTTTGCTGGAATAAAAGCACATTTTGGCTATTGAAAAATATGATTAATGGTTTCTTATGTGAAATCTTTTCTTATTTGTATTGCCAATGTTTAACCTCGTCCATTTTTATTATTTATTTATTTATTTTTCTTCCTGTCTTCCATTTAAAGATCTTGTGAATTTGATCATTTCTAATCCTAATGGCCTGACTTTAGGATCAGTGATTCATTTTGTGAGGTTGACAAGTACCTTGTGGTCCTAAAACTATGTGTGTACATATTAAATTTTCCTCCAGCGCTGTGATCGTTGCGGGCAGTCAGGAGCCACCGTGGGCTGTTGCCTCCCCACCTGTCAGAGTAACTTCCACTTCATGTGTGCACGTGCCCAGAGCTGCGCGTTCCAGCAGGACAGGAAGGTTTACTGCTACAAACACAGGGACCTGGTGACTGCAAAGGTGTGAATTTATATGTTGTCAGATTATAAATATATATTTTTGTTGAAAGCAGTATACATATTTAATATTATATTCTGATTTTGTGTTCGTTATGCTGACTATTGTTTGTGATTCTTCACAGATCGTCTCTGGTAAAGGGTTTGAAGTCCCGCGACGGGTGTATGTGGACTTCAATGGGATCAATCTCAGAAGGAAGTTCCTCACAGGTCTTGAGCCAGAATCCATAAATATGACCATAGGTAAGATTATCTTGATGTTTCATGTTTTTGACTCTTGTAATGGGATAGATTCAGATTGAATTAACATACGGCTGTTTTATGTCTTGATGCAATGAACCTCATTATCTGTTTGTTTTTGGTTTTTTTTTTTGGTTTTTTTAAACCTTCCAGGCTCGCTGCAGATTCAGAAACTTGGTGTTCTGTCAGAGCTGTCGTCAAATGGGAGGATGCTGTATCCTGTAGGCTATCAGTAAGTGATAACTGCCTTTGTATTCAAGCGTGTTTTTTTTTGGTTGGGGTTAAACAGCAACTTTTGAATTATAGATATGAGTAGAAATTAACATGCCTGTTTCGTATTCTATCATTTATAAATAGCTAAAAACAGCTACAACACATAGTCTGCAAAGCTGTCCACAGGCCTAGCGCAGAACCATGTTTTCCTCTTTATGTGTAAGGCGCAGCGGTACTTTTGTCCACAGTTGTATTATTAACGAAAAATAAAAAGTACCCACAGGGAAATTAGTTTTAAAGTCAGACTGTTTTCTCTATCAGGCTGTAAACCCTTTCATTTCTACTTTAGAGTAGAAGCACATTTAAACAGAAGACTCTATTAGCCCTCTTCCACTGCTGCCTACTCAGCTGGACTGAACTCAGTTTATGTCGTTTTCCATTACAGTCGATCTAATGTGCATGTGGTCATTATAGCAACAAGGCCGAAAGTCCAGTGAGGTCATTTGTATGCGACGTGAACAACACAACAAAGGAGTTGAGACAGTGTCATACCTGCTGTTTGGTGTATGGCTTATTCTCAGACTCAGAGACCAGAGTGTTGTTTTTTTGTGTAGTTTTCTATGGGCTCAAATTGTGGTCATAAATATTTTGTACTTGATATTATTATTGTAACTTATGTAAAAATATTTACACAAGTTTAAAAAATTTTTTTGTTAAGATCTGGTTACAGATACAAAGCAAAAAACGATGTGTAAAACTCTGCGCTCAAGTTCCCTGGCTATGTGTGGGATTCAACTTACAAGTACTAATTTTGACCCAATTTTTCTTCCTTTCACCTGATTGGTCAATGTCATGTCAATCACAAATTGAACAATCCAGTCAGTCTATTTATGTCACATTTTCTTTCGATCGCCTCGAATTGCTTGGAACCCCGGCCAAGTAGATTAAAAAAGAAGCACCTGGTAGCAGGTACTACCACCTAATGGAAACCCCTGAAAACCATGCCAAGCTGTACTAATGGGAAAGGGTTACATGTGATTGGCTTAGTTCTTGGCTGCTGTTACTGACATTACTGATTTATCCATAGTTCATTGTCTCTTCATTAACAAGCTTGAAATGTATTTTCTTCCTTCTTTTATTTTCTAGGTGTTCACGGTTGTACTGGAGCACCGTGGACCCACGCCGGCGCTGTAAGTACACCTGCAAGGTGACAGAGGTGAGCACTCCTCTCCCTGGTGAGGAACAGAATTTGAAGTGGGAGGATGAAGAGAACCACACCATAGTCCACAGTCCGAACCACCACAGAGGTGAGCAGGATCTCAACGGCTGTGAGGAGAGCACTGAAGCTGAAGCAGTGGACAAGAAATTGAAAATATGGGTATTTTTTTTACTGTGCTAAAAACTTTTTTCTCTTTTCTTTTAAAAAAAAAAAAAATCTTTTCTAGATATTGAGTCTCCAGATATTTTAAGTCCCACATCCAGCCCAATAAAATCCACTTCCATATCACCCAACTCTAAACTGCACAACACACCCGGGTCTAAAAGCCCTGCTTACACACACACCAGGAGACCAGCAGGAGGATCATCTCGACCACTACCATCTCCAGGTACGTGGAGTTTTAGGAGAAGATGGGTACCTGTTGTAGTGTGACTTTAAATAAAAAAAGTAAACCCCCTTTCACACTCCCTTTTCTTGCTGTCAGGGTGTGCTCCACCCAAATCCCATCACATCCTGACTCTGAGGGACCTGGAGGAAACCCGGCGGCCTCGAAGGCTCTCGTCCAGAAGCCGGTGCAGCTCCTCGCCATCAGAGAGCGACCCGTCCGTACCGATGACACTCCGCTCTGGCGGCACGGTCCACTCCCGATGTGCCCTATTCAGCTCCCCTCCGAGAGCATCGAACTTTGGATCGGCTTCACCTCCTCTCTCACGACAGAACTCTGCATCTCCAGTCTGGAGCTCCCCACCTAGATCCAGCTCCAGCATTTCTACAGGGCTGTCGCCTCGGCAAGGAGCCATCACTCACTCCCCCAGAGGGAGGCATAGCTTTAAAATTACCACTCCAGTCTCTGCCGAGGTTCCCCAAGACTTTTTGGCATCCTCTGAGGCAGAAGATGCAGCTGTGGCCACTACAAATGGGATCTCACTGGCACCTGATAACCTGGAGGAGGAAGTGGCCCACCTGATGTCTCAGGAGCTTCCTTACACTGTGTTTGACACTGACACTGAGGTAGCAGTGGACTCCATGCTGAATGCTAAGCTTGAGTTTGATGAGGCTTTGCTCACAGAGAATGTGTCGCTTCATTGCGGGGCACAAGGCAGCAGAGAGGTGGAAATGCAGGGAAACGATCAAGAGATTGATTCTGAAGAAGACGACTCGAGTCGTTATTTTAAGTTTTCACGCACGGTGGTGTGCGATCACACAGCAAGTGGCTCGGATACCTCAGGTCAGCTTAATTCAGCTCAGTCTATCCCGCAGTTAGACGGTGCGGACGGTGGGTCGGAAACTGAAAGCGAGGCGGCCGATGAAGATGCTCAGGATGCAGAGGGAGGGAATGAAGAAGCTAAAATTCAAACCAACCACACTACACCCACTAAACAACTAACGGTGGCGCTAAAGAGGCTTGAGTCAATCTACACGGTCCCAAAGTCACCAGTTGAAGAACAACCTGAACCAGTGCTTCAGGAAAGTCTTTCACCTTCTGCTTTCCTGGAGTCAGCTTACACAAATAACGAACTGTCCGTTCAGGAGGAAGAGGTCCCGATGACCTCAGAAACATCGCCGTCTCAAAACGAGGTGTTCTTGGATTCATCTACAGGCCACTTTGTTCCTGCTGAACATGGCTCTGCAGAGTATCCAAATAAACACATCGTTGGCGACAGAGATGACAGCGCTTCGTCAGCTGACTCAGATGAAGGATTTAAAGATGATTTGAATGATCCTGATTATTCTCCAGAGCCTAAAACCAAAAAACCTCCCACAGCACAGATGAAAACGGTCTTTGTGAAGACAAAACATCCTGCGCCAAACCTCAAGCGCTTGGCGATGAAACCTTCACTTCCCCTGATGCAAGCCAAACTGCCTTTACCCCCTTACCCTGGACAAACTGCGTCCGTTTCCTCTGCTGCAGTTACTTTTCATGCAGTACCACGCCCGGTCGCACCCCCTGCCATTATCAATGGTTTAAATGCTTTAAACATTCAGCCAGGTGCTTCACTGGGGAAAACCATCGCTATAAACTTGATTAGCTCCAAGCCAGAAAGTCAGCAGCAGGCAGCGACGGAGAACCCAGCTGGGTCAGCTAGCACGCCCCCAGTGCAGGCTTCTACCCATCAGGTCCTGCTGGTCAACCGGCACGGTCAGATTATGATCAAAGACCCAAAGTTGAACACGTATCAGCCTCTCAGTACAGATTCACCAACCTACAATAAGATAAGCCAGATTGCCAAGATTCTCCACAGTGGTAATGCTTTACAGCGCTCCATGCCTCATGTCATAATAAAGCCTCGGCCCAGCCCTTCAGCTGCAAACGCCCCTCCTGCCCCTAACCTCCAGGCGGCCCAGAGGAAGATCATCGTCAAAATGGTGCCCATGAAAAGCAACAGCACAGCTGCTGCTCCCACAACTGTCAGCATGTACAGCTCACCTGAATCTAGTTTCTCCAACATTGAAGAAAGCACAGCCCAAGCGATTATCGATAGAGCCATGGCTACTCACCGCGACGCACCCAAAACAAAACCCATCATCCTCAGCAGTACTCGACAGCCAAAGGCCAAGCATCGGAAACCAGTGCCATTTCCCAACGTCGAAGACTCGGATCAGTCATCAGCTGGTCGTTCAGAGTCTCCCAGTGTTTTCGGTAATGAATCAATACCTGCTGCATCGCGCCACCAGGTGAGAGTTAAGAGAGTGTCGTCGGTGTCTGAGAGACCTTCCAGGAAGAAATCCAAGATGGACTTCTTGAAGGATCCATCGAGTGAGCCGGAGGACACTGATGAAGCCAGGTAACAGATGATTTTAAAAATGTACTTACTGCAACATGCAGAACACGAGTAATATTTAAAAAACTAATATTTACATTGATCTTAATGGTTAACATTAAAAAAACAACAACAAACTGATCTCCAGCTTGATTTTGTATGAAGCACCGAGCATCACATACAGACTGACATTTTATAAATTGGTCCTCTGATCTGCAGAATCTCAGCAATGAGAGAAATTTGCACTCTCAGCAGCTGAAAGAGTTTTAAAGTAAAAGATGGCAAAAGAGAAAATAAAGCATGTTGATGTCTTTCAACAGGCCGAGTGGTGTGAGAATGAAAGCTCCAACAATGAAAGATGTTCTTGATCTGGATCGCCAGCTTGAGCCACAGCCAGAGCCTGAGAGGATCGTTGCCCCACCACCACCTCCTACACCCAAAAGGTTAGCCTCATGTATGGACTTATTACTGCGCTACAAAGGCAAAAGGAGGCAAATACTTAATGTCAGGCTGTATTTAAAGATTTGAAAGAGCTGAAAGGCCACATGAAAACTAATTATTTAGGTCCTCGAGCCTGAAGTAGTTTTTGTGTATGTGCTGTTTTTTGTTTTTTTTGTTCAAAAAAGCAAGATGCTGTACACATTAAATTGACTTAATAGTTAATTAAAAGAAATTCAAAGAAAAGGAGGGGAATGTGGGGGATGTGAAAATGTTTTCCAGACAAGGCAGTCTGTTTTAGGTCAGTGGTTTATCAAAGATACAATGAAATGAGGTTCAAAATTCTGCTTCCAACTAAGCATAGTAAGACAGATATGAATTAAACTAGTTGGGGGATCAAAGTGACTACAAATATTTACAAAATAAGTGGACTAATTCAGACAAAGCTGGATAAAAAGATTTTACTTTGGGGGGAAATGAATAGTGCTGCCTTTGACTGTGAAATAAACCCCACCTTCCTAATTTAAGAAATGACATCATGTCTTTGAGCCACAGGAAAATGGATCAAAGGTTAGGTTAAGTAATCAGGTCAAAACGTGCTGTTTATGGCAGGAATAAACTGTTGGGATCATTCAGGACTTTAGTATTTTTAACTCTGTTAGTTGCAGCCTAGTACAGAGTGTACCATGAACGTACACTAAAGACAGCTTTATCCCAACATTGATCGCCCAGTCCCATTCCAGTCCAGGCTCCTGCTCCCAGGCTGTTTTGTTTTGACTGCAGTGTTCAGGGCCATCAGGGTGTCATATTTCGAATACTTGAAGTGATTTTTGATCGGGTCCAAAGACCGTTCAGACCATCCTGTAGTAGTTAAGAAGAAGAGAAAAGAGAAGGGAAAAGAGAAGAGACAGAATGTTTAACCTGTGAAAAAATGAAAAGAAAAAAAAAAGTATTTTTGACAAATATGTTTTTTCCCTTGTGTGCAGGTGTTTTCATGATGACAGTCCACCATTTCCCACCAAAACCAACAGTCAGATTCAGGGTATGACGCACAAATGGGTGAGCGCTCGGCACGGAGACCTCTCTGAGTGGGGCCCTTATTCAGGTTTGTGACTATAAGTTTAGTCATTTGTGTCTAATTTAGGCTAAAAACCTTTGTTTTTACATTTAACATTTATCGTTAATCTCATTTATATAGTTTTGATTGTCTTTAAGTGTCATTGCTTTGCGAGAGAGAATATGTGATTAGGTGTGAGACTGTCTTTCACTTTTTGCAGGTTTTAGCTCAGAAGAAGAAGCACCACCTCCACCTAAACCCACAGCGAGGACGTACATGAACCAGCCCCACCTGCGCTTTGAAATCACCAGTGATGACGGCTTTAGCGTTAAGGCTAACAGCATAGAAGGTAGGAATCACTCCTCTGCTTCTTATTTAATTCTTATGCTGGTATTTTCTACTCTTTGTCATTAAAAATATAAGAAATAGAAGTTTATATCTCATTGGATAATAGCCTCGACTTTTATCAGCAAATAAGAGGATTTTCATTTATGTCAGTGGCTGATGTTTATCTGTTGCCAGCCATTTCTTTTCTTATTATAATATGAGAATAAAAAGGAGAATGAATACAACATAAAAGAATCAGCCCAGGTGTTCTCTTAAACATTTGTCCGTGTTATCTTGCGTTTTGGCTGCGTGTTCATCTTTGCCTCCCTTTCTCACCTACCGTCAGTTGCCTGGCGCGCTGTGATAGACGGCGTCCTCGAAGCTCGGGCAGGGTTCCACCTAAGGCAGCTGCCTCTAGGTGGGATGAGCGGGCCGCGGGTGCTCGGCGTCGTCCACGATGCCGTCATCTTCCTGCTGGAGCAGCTGCAGGGCGCCGCATACTGCAAACGCCACCGCTTCCGCTTCCACCGATGTGATGACATCGAGGAAGAACTTCCCCTCAACCCGAGTGGCTGCGCCCGAGCTGAAGTCTGCACACGGTACAGACACCCTAGTTCACGGGTTTTGCTTTTAAAACCTTCTGCGCTTTGTCTGTATGTGTCTTGTTATGATGCACATCACAAATGATTTTCCCTGATCCTTTAACCAGGAAAGCAACGTTTGACATGTTCAACTTCCTGGCGTCGCAGCACAGAGAGCTTCCCGACATATTGGGCCCCTTTGATGAAGAGGAGGATGAATTCCCGCTCAAATCTTCTAGGTTAGTCATTCAGTTTGCTTCACTTTTGTCTGTGAAGTTGAGCAGTTTTCACATCAGTACTGACAGCTCTGTTGCGTCTTTGCCAGGCGAGCCACCAGCAGTGAGCTTCCCATGGCAATGAGATTCAGACACCTGGAGAAAATCTCAAAAGAAGCAGTAGGAGTCTACAGGTAACGACAAATGACCATAAAACCCTTCAGGGTTTCATTGGTGTCCAAAAATAAATCAGTTAAACTTTCGAAACTTCTCCCCCTGTGGCGCCTTAGATCGCCGATTCATGGTCGTGGACTCTTCTGCAAAAGGAACATCGATGCTGGGGAGATGGTGATCGAGTATGCCGGTACTGTCATTCGCGCAGTCCTGACTGATAAGCGGGAGAAGTATTACGACAGCAAGGTTGGTTACACTCGGCATTCATCATCACAGAGCATCTGTGTTTAATAAGTTTAATGTGAAGCAGCAGTAACTAGTTACAACTACAGAGAAATCACTGAATACCACAGCATGCAAAGACACGGTCTGCTTCCAACAATTACATTAATCATTAGTACTTCAAACAGGAACAAACAGGCACGTCGGATGAACCTAGAACAAGTCAACTGATTAAAATAAAACTATTTTTTAAAGGGTTTTTTCTTTTATTCTTTGATCACCAGCTAAACGCTCTTCAACATCTTCCTTTTGCTTTCACTTCCTTAAGGCACACTCTCACTAGACTCGGGGGGGCATACCATTAAAATTTATGGCGGTCAAATTCCTTTTACATCGTGGGCAACATTCATAAGGGGCGAGAACAATGAAACACCTTTAATCCTAAAATGTGAAAGTGATGTGTGTGTTTCTGTACTCCAGGGCATCGGCTGCTACATGTTCCGCATCGACGACTTCGACGTGGTCGACGCCACGATGCAGGGCAATGCGGCTCGTTTCATCAACCACTCGTGCGAGCCGAACTGCTACTCGCGCGTCATCAACGTGGACGGACGCAAGCACATCGTTATCTTCGCATTGAGGAAGATCTACCGGGGAGAAGAGCTCACCTACGACTACAAGTTCCCCATCGAGGACGAGAGCAACAAGCTCTCCTGCAACTGCGGGGCGAGGCGCTGCCGCCGCTATCTGAATTAACCCCCCCCTCACCGCTAACCCTAATAAGCCGTCGTAGCTGATGCAGCTCAGGCGGCAAATGAAATCATGAAGGCAAGTGTAGCCATATGATGGAGGTCAATAACGCGCACAGACCTGAGCCAGTGTTCAGAAGATCAACCTACAGACCCGTGAAGGACGTACACAAGATAAGAGCCATATGTGAAAGCTTGGGATGAAGTCTACACATGCACGCACACACACGATGGATTTATGTACTGTTTCTCATCTACTTCACACTTTGTTTTACATCGCTGACTTTGCTGTCAGCGCCCTCTGCTGGAACTGGGGAAAAAAAGAAGTGCAAACTGAAGTGACCTAACTTCAGCTGTCTGTCTGTCTCTGTAAATAAAAAGTCAGAGAGCGACGAAGAGGAGAATTTCTACAGCACCTTAGCATGACCCAGCCTTCTCTGGCAGCAGACAGGACTCACTTTTACTATAAAGCAGCAGTGCAGCTCTTTTTACTCTGGATACCACATCTCTCGGAAGCAGGGACTTGAATTAAGTGAATTACAAATTCCCGTTCACTTAATATTTTAGGTGCTGATGACATTTATCCCACAGGTTAGTTTTAATAGCATCAATCGAACCTTTGTGCTCCTCCAGTCAGCCGAAAGCTTCTGTTTTTATTTGTAACGGCACAGATGCTGTGACCCGAATGCTTTTATCCACTGTTACACTCTTTCTTTGTTCTCTTTGTTTGTGCAGTTTGTATGTTTTAAGGCCTATGAGGAAGCGTTTCCTTGGTGCAGCATTCAAAAGGAAAACGGTGACCTTTCCCCGGCATGGTCCCTTACAGCTCTTTTTGTACATTTGAACAATAAATGTATGGTCATCAGACTAATGGAAGTAAATGTGTTTGAGCTTTTAACCTTCTCTTTGTAGGCTGAGCAACAGTGAAGCTTATTCCCTTCAATTGTTGTCTGGTTAATCATTGTTTTGTGCCCCCCCACACAAATCTCCCTCAGGTGTTCTATCTCAAAGAAAGAAGTGAGATTTAATTTAATTACACAACACACAATGGAAAAACTGCTTTCTTGCTCTTTAAGCTTTCTAATTATTGAATTTCGATATTAAGAAACAGGTAACATCACTGCTGTTGGACACTTAGAATAGGTGGTCACCTTTTTTGTGCTTTTTCTTTCTTCCTCTTTTTTTTTTTTTTTTTTAGGAAACTCCATTGTGTAATTGTGCCCCCGCTACTGGATGTACACAAGGATCTGGGACTGCTGTGGACTTTTTGTTTTGTAGGATTCATGACTGAATTTGACACAAATCTTTGTTACTGTATCAGCTCACATGGATCCTGTCCTGTACATAGTTGTAAAGAATTTCTAAGCCTGTTGAATATTTTTTTACCTCCAATTTTTTTTAATTTATGTTCAATAAAATTTGTTCAAAGTTTGCTTTCCTGCTGGTGATTTTCTTAACGCACAAACAGAACCTGAAGGCATTCACAGTGAAATATACAGGAAAAATCACACAGCTGAAGATGTTTGATTAAAAGTGGAAAAAAATCAGACCTGTGGGAAAAAAACTGATCATCTATCAGACTGGATTGATCTTGTAGAAACATGCCAGAATGTTATGAACTTATAAAACTGATTATTATTGTTATTATTATTATATAAAGCTGGAACCAGCTTTTTGCATTACTGGAAAAAGGGGGCGTGGTATCTGTCCATTTGCCTAACTGCTTAGGCACATTCACTTCAGTGCAAAAGTCTTGAACCATATCCACCATAAAATAGGATCTGGAAAGCATCTGACTGACAAAGGCCTCATTTTTCAGCACGATAATGAGAAAGACGCACAAGGGAACACTCCCAGAAGTCATGGATTGGCCTCCCCAGAACCACAGCAGTGTGATATCATCTTGATGGAGAACAGAACAAAAGTTAGCCAACACCCTGAGTGTCCTTCAAGAAGCCTGGAGAACAATTCCTGAAGACTTTAAAGAAAACACAAGAGAGCTGCCTAAAAGCGTTCACACTATGTTGAAGAATAAAGTTGGTCACACCAAATATTTACTTTCACGCTTGCCTTATATACTGAACTGTCATGTACGTTTGCATGTTTCAATAAATCACTATGCCTATTTCCCATTTTTCTAACACAATATAAAGAAATGAGGGGTGGCTCAAGAGTTTTGCACAATACTGCATATTATGTTAAGTTAATTGGTGATTCTACATTAGCCGTAGGTGTGACTGTGTGTGATTGGTTGTCTGTGTCTCCTGTTCAGGATGTACCCCATCTCTTGCCCAGTGACAGGCAAGAAAAGAACAATAATTGTACATTTTATTTGAATTAAAAGAGTCGAAAAGTGCATGAATGAATTGAGCCTCTGAATACAGGTTAGTTTGTGATGTTGTCTTGAGAACCTCGACACACGGTCTACCATAATGTTATGCCTGGCTCATTTAAAGAAGGAGAGATCAATCGGAGAGAAAGAGTCTAAATAAATATCAATAGTTTTAAAAGCACATAATGACATGTCTGTGAGATGGATATAAACAGCTTTTTTGTCTAATGATTAAAATTAGTCATTGCTAGTTAGAGTTAAAGAAATGCTTGTGCTTTGATGTGGGATTATCGTGTCTCCTAATGCATTCTTGTGGAGGCAGGAGATATGTGCAAAATTAACATTACATCACCCGATTTTCAACCAGTTTTCTACTACCCCAGCAATCTTCAGTGCCTGTGGCAGCCCATCGTTGATGATGCAATCTGCAGGAACCTTATCACTACCGTCCCCGAGGTCACTGGTCTGCGCTGGATCCGTGCATGGAGACACCAGTAAATGCCCAGTGAGTTAAAGCCCAGTGCACACAAAGAGACTGAGGTGGTACACAAGTATGCGCATGAAATCTGAGACTGAGTGCACTTCTTATTAAACTTCACTGGTGCAGGTTTACACTCTAATGGCATCTAATTGAGCATCAGAAAGATGCTCTCACTCTAATATTGACTGTAAGAGGGAGATCCAGCAGTATTGTTGGAGAGAAAACCTAGTCAAAGTGTCTTAGAATGTAACTAAGTACATTTACTTAAGTACTCTGTGATATTTTATACCTCACTTCCGCTACAGTTCAGAGGGAAAGAGAGGCTTGCAGGGATGAGAGGTGAGGGTGCTTGCCTGTTATCAGGAGCCACCTTGGTACAAAAGGACCAATTGATTGCCTTTTTCTGTTATTCCTGATTGTAGAGACTGAAGAGGATTTTTAATTACAGAAATATAGCACTCAAACAAAGACATCATAAGGACAAGTGACCAAATGTAGCAAATATCTGTCAGCATGGTGGTTTCATCACAATCACATGGGTAACATTATGACATCTGCCATCATCGTGGTTTGTTTGGGATTTAATTTACTCATTGCATGTCAAGAATGTTTTTTTCCAGAAAAGATGTCATCAGTTACATTCAGAAAAATCTTTTATCCATAACTAACTTACCTGATCCCACGTTTAACAACTTCATGCTGTGATGCTTTGAAGAGAAATGTTACAGGTGTTGTCTTGCTCAGCTCAGACAGGGCATCTACTAGTCCTTATACTTTTTAAATACACATTTGCAGATAAAATCAAGTGATTCGTGTGTCCTTGGTTCAGTTTGGATAGATCTTGAGTATTTTTAGCCAATTCACTGTGAGAATTATGTGCTCGCAGTGCTGCTATTTTCAGCCGCTCTGCACATTTACATCATATACTGGTTTGTTTACCATTATGTTCCTGTGACCTCACCCTGTCATTGACATGTTGCTTCTATTCCTCTCGAACCCAGTCCTCATAAAACCTTATCTTATGAGCCAGTTGCTCCATAACTCATATTTCACTCGCTTTTTTCAGCCATTTGTCTTGTGTTAGAGCAGGTATGATGCACTCATTTTACATGGAGACTCACGTTACAGCCCATTTTGATCCTAAGCAGGCAGCACCAGTGAAACTAAAGAAGTTTAACTACATATTTAGAAAAAAGAAAAAGAAGGCCATTTGTAACAGCTTTTCTTAGTTTTTGACGTGGTAAAGAAATGCTGCTGTAGTAAATGAGAAAAATGTGTCAGCATGATTTAAATTGTAATAAATGTATAAAATTATAGAAAAAGGGGAAGTTTCTGTTAGTACATGGAACATATCCTGTTTTGTTTTTTACAATTCAAATTCTTTGAATTGTTGTGTTATTGTGCTTCTAATTGTCACTTATCTCATACAGTGCTGTTATTCTGTTTGAGATCCATTGTTTGGATCTCTGGGCCAAAGTATTTGGAGTAAAATGCTTGTCTTAAGCTACCTAATTTGATCATCAGCCTGTTAAACTGAATGTTATGGCTTTTATAGATTAAACCTTTCATAAAATAGGCGAAAGTATGCCAATAAGATACATTAGATTGAAGCCTATATCTAAAGAATGTACGGGTCTTAGCCTGGTGTTCAGGTCTGGCAGGGCTTGCAGTACACTGGTGCAAACCCTGAAGATGATGAAGAAGAAAGGCTTGCTGACCAGCCTTCTGTGAAATGAATATTTAAGTTTACTGAATATGTATGTCTATGAAGGTTCTCAGTCATCCAGGTCATCGTAGTCAAAGGAGCTTGCAAAGAAAAGCGTCTGGACTTCTTTAAGTTGCTTGAAGACGTTTCACCTCTCATCCGAGAAGCTTCTTCAGTTCTAAGGTCAAATGGTGGAGAGTCCCAGATTTAAACCTAGTGGGAGTATCCCCCCACAGAGGGACAAAAGGACCCCCTGATGATCCTCTAATCGCCTGAGCCAAGGTGTGAAACTGGGTGTGGGTCCCAATCAGCCAGAGTTTCGGGTGAGCTCATTGTGAAACCTGGCCCCACCTTATCATGCGAATTCCTAGGAGATGGCCCAGGATGTGAGTGGGCGTTAAGGCGTCTGGGAAGGGATCTCAAAACTGGATTATAGATGGCAGAGAGTTGGTGTCGTAAACCCCGCCTCTGTTCAAAGATGGTCGCTCACAGTGGACATAGATGGCTTCTTTCACTCCTCTTTCAAACCATCTGTCCTCTCTGTCCAAAATGTGAACATTGGCATCCTCGAAAGAGTGTCCTTTATCCTTAAGATGCAGATGGACTGCTGAGTCTTGTCCTGTGGAGGTGGCTCTTCTGTGTTGTGCCATGCGCTTGTGAAGTGGCTGTTTGGTCTCTCCAATGTAGAGGTCTGGGCATTCCTCGCTGCACTGTACAGCATACACCACATTGTTAAGTTGTGTTTTGGCGTTTTGTCTTTCGGGTGAACCAGTTTTTGTCTGAGCGTGTTGCTGGGTCTGAAATGCACCGGGATGTCATGCTTGGAGAAAACTCTCCTGAGTTTTTCTGATACACCGGCTACATAGGGGATGACAATGTTGTTGCGTCTGTCCTTCTTATCCTCCCTCGCTGGTGTCTGTCTTCTTTTCTGTGCCTCTTTGCTGACTTTAAGAACGCCCATTTAGGATAGCCGCACGTTTTGAGTGCTTCCTTTACATGTGTGTGTTCCTTCTTTTTTCCCTTCAGGCTTAGAGGGAACATGTTCTGCCCGGTGGTGTAGGGTCCTAATTACTCCAAGTTTGTGTTCCAGAGGGTGATGGGAGTCAAAGAGGAGGTACTGGTCCGTGTGTGTGGGCTTCCTGGTAAACTTCGATGTTGAGGTTGCCGTTCTCTTCAATGTGCACAACACACCGAGAAGAATCCGAGAAGCTTCTTCAGACCTTAGAACTGAAGAAGCTTCTCGGATGAGAGGTGAAACGTCTTCAAGCAACTTAAAGAAGTCCAGACGCTTTTCTTTGCAAGCTCCTTTGACTACTGAATATGTATTGTACTTGCCCAATACCTTAAACTCAACCAAATGTTTTCTTTCCACCATAATGATCATTTCTACTTTTCTTTGAAGTTTTAAAGCACTTAAAGTAACTTGCTCACACCTGTGAACTGCCAAGTGGTTACAGGTGGCACAAAGCACACTGCAACCACAGAAAGCTGGAACTATCAGTGAGTTAGTATTTTGTGATGAGAGAGTCTACTGTGTATTTCCTGTCTTTGTCTGCAGGCAGATGCTGGCGGACCTCTGGTGTGTAAAGGCGAGCTGCAGGGAGTCATGTCCATTTCTTCCGACTGCATCATGAATGGAAACCCCACTCTTTATGCCCGCGTGTGCAGCTACATCAGCTGGACCAGCAGCGTCATGAGCAGCAACTAAACTGAGCAAGAGTCACTCACAGGCCCATATAAAAACTGACATTCAGTCAGTGCTCATACTCATTTTATTCAGAGCATCCTGTATAACGTATATGTGCTCAGTAATACCATTCTGCAAACACAAAGTTAGAAAATGAATAAAAATGTGCATGAGAATTCTTTGCATTTCTTTCCTTTCTACATCTGCTCTCACATTTCTTTTTCTCTCCATTGCTTCACATTTGTAAGCAAAAATACGAACATGCTTTTGCTTTGTAACACTGCATTCGGAGTGCTTTTGTTTCCACTCTGCGCCTTAATGTTACAAGGCCACCGCCAACCTCTGACTGCTGCAAAACATTCATGTATGATATTTGCACTCGCTGTATTTTAGACACATGCATCGCTATGAAGTGCCTCTTTGTGCTCGGTTACTGTCGGCACTGGGTTGATATGGGAGGAGGGTGAACTTGAGTAAATAGGCGGTAAGGCATAACTGCATTCCTTTTCTCAGGATTCTTATATAACGTCCTCAGATGGCGCTCTGTAAACTCCGCTGTTTCTTGTTTGCTGAGGCAACCTGAGCACACAAAAGACAATAAAAAGAGAGGAGAGAGGACAGTCGTGCTGATGTAACAAACTGAGAAGCTATACTCTGCACACAAGGCATGCAGTATTTATTTAGAGATCCCAAGAAATATCTCACATATGATTATATGTTTTACATTGTTGCCATAACTGAGACACAACACTAGGGGGAGCCACTTCAACTGTATGCTGCACATCTGGTGCTGTAAAGGGTTGAGCAATAATGACATTTAATTTCTGATGTCTTTGAAGCCCCCTGCAAGTATCAAATGTGTCTACAGTCATGATATTAAAAAAAAGGAAGCGCACACTCTTTCAGTTCTAGAGTTTTACGAATGAGATCATGAAAAATAAATCATCTGGCCCTTAGCAGGTCTTAAAATTATGCAAATACGAACACCTCTATAAAAGGAGATGATGGATTGTATGGTAATAATCTCATAACCCTTCCCAGACTGATGCTCTGGAGCGTTCGGGTGCATTAACACAATGCCAAGAAAGAAAGACATCATCTTGGAGAAGCAATTCTTGCTGCCCGTCAATCTGTGAGGGGCTATGAGATCATTTCAAAACAATCTCAAGTCCATTTTGCAGTGAGAAAGATTATTCACAAGTGGAAAACATTCATGGCAGCTGTGGAAAACCCAACAAATTCACCGCAAGGTCATCCGTACAAAGCTTGGATAAACTCTCAGTTAGCGCGTTAAGTGTTAAAGTTCCCGACAGCAGAGACCTTCTTTCGGCTGCATATTCACAAGGGATCACCACAGAGGATGAAGCCACATATTTGATTTGGCACAGATTTTTGTCCTTCCTGACGCCACCCTCCTAGGGATTTGTGTCTTCTGCTGGTCTTGAACTGGGGATATTTCGCTTGTTAGCTGAATGTGTAAACCACTGAACACTACAATTAGAAAAACACTAAACACATACCAGCACAGCTCAGGTTTGCAAAGCTACATCTGAACAAACTAGACCTCAGAATTAACAGATGCTGTGCTTTCTTTTTACTATGACAGCAAAAAATAAATGTAATGAGCTTCCATTTATTCTTACCTTTTAAGAGTAGCATCTCATACTGAATAAAAAACAACTGGGTCTGAGACACAGCCTTTGAACCAGCTTTTATCCAATTGATTTCTTCATAAACAAAAGGCTTGAGCAGTAGGTGGGTGGGGCTGCTGCGTGTCTGAGATGACCACATTAGGGAATTCCCTACTCTGTGATATCGTACAGATCCAAGACTAGAAAAAGACTGAAACTCTAAGCCTGAGCGTTTGGCTCAAAGGAATTACTTTTACATACATGGACCTCAAAGACCATAAGGGGTCCACTGTAAAGAGTTATTTAACAACATTATGACAATTAGATATGATCCCCTGCTCACTGTCACTATAGTTCTGCTACAAAAAAGTATTATTTTTATCCTCTACACCATAAAAAGAATACAAATTCTGATTAACCCCTCTCAATTACAGTCTTTAACTAACTGCAGGAATAATATGCACATTACAGAGAATGAAACAATAACATTTTTATGCACAGATAAATCCACATATGCATGTACTGCAAGTCTAACAACTCACCTGCCCAGCGATCCTATCCAGGTCTCTCTGACCCTGAGAGGTCAGTCTACGACCGCTGTAAGCACAAATATTTTAAAACATTTAAAAATAACAGTTGTTGTGAAGTCACCACCTCAGAATCACATCGTCTCAGCATTCACCCTTCTCACCCATTGGGATCCTTCTCCACCATCTTGAGGCCCTCCAGAGCTTGCAGGACCTTCCTCGCCACGTTCCTGGATCCTACGCTGAAGTGGGCGGGGCATACGCCGTTCCTCTGGCGGCCACCGTAGATTTTGATCATGGAGCCCACGCCGGCCCCTCCTCGCAGGTACAGGTGGCGGGCCGTGGATGCTGGTGGCACATATCATATACAGTGCAGTATGTTTCAGTATGAACTTATTTTATCATTCAAAATACAAGAAGTCAACATATTTTAGAGCTAATATAAGTCAGTACAGGACATAACAGGTAAAGGAACAGTGTGCAGTGCATGCGTTTCTATTGGATTTAGCGAATATGCTTTATTCATATAACAAATTTTTATTCCAGGCAGAAGCACAATGTGCAGCATGCTACTATCTCAATAATGGAAAACTAAGTTAACAAACAGGAGAAAGTGTCAGGATTGCAGACCCAGACATGGGACACAGGAGTAAAGCATAAAGTAGAGCCCTTAAATATAAGCATAATAAAGTCTGAAAGTAATCCAAAGCAAAGCATAACTCCAGGCAATCCAATACACAGCTGAGAAGGAAAACACAACACAAATCAGGGATAATGGGACAAAAGATGTTGCACTAAATAGAAACCATCAGGGACAAAAGACCACAAACATAAAACAGGAAATGAACTACACAGAAAATGACCACAGAGACAAGACTGGCAAACAGAGAAGGATCACAAAAGGAAGTAACAAACTTATTACCATCAAAGCAAATAACTAAGGGCAAAAATGACAAAGAGATTCCAATGGACCAGGGAACATAAAACATTATAAACAGAAGACCAAACAACATAAATCAAAACTCAAAAGAAATCATGAAGAATAGGAGAATTAATAAAATGACATAATTAAGACAATGTTCTCTAAATCAGGGGCTCAGAAACAAAGAACAGATTTGACTGTACTGCACCTAGGTTCATGGTAGCCACAGTGAAAGGCCTGCCTGTGTTACTCAGCTGTTTGTGTATGATCATAAATCACAAGGATGCCTAAAAAAGGTACAAATAACTCCAAGACCGAATTGTTTTTCCATCTTAAGATGCGATTTCCAGAACCCAAACTTTATCAAATAAAATATATCTTCTGGTTAAACATTTCAGTTCACTGAGTCAATTCAGCTAATGATTGCTTGTCATGTTGACTGTAATCAACTCTGTTTGGGTAATTGTTCGGTGTGTAATTGTTTATTTTGTCTGAACAATAATTAAAACAGCTTGAGACAGAGAGAAACTGCACATCCACACACTAGAGAGGACTGAGCCTGACATGTTCATGACTTTCATTTACTTTTTATGATTATTTGTCACTCCAGCTGCACGTGGAAACGAAAACCAACCTGCTCTGGTGTAAAACCAGTTGTCGTCACAGGGGGCAAGCTCCTTGTGCCTGGCAAGCTTCACGGTATCAACCCACTCTGGGACCTTCAGTTTGCCAGACCTGAAAAATCAATTAGTAGGTGATGTGATGAATAAAAACAGCGTGATACATATTAAATTGTTTGCTTTTCCAACTCATATATATGATAATAAAGGTAAAGACTTCATTGTGTAGAGTAAGGCAGATTTTTTTGGTCATAAAAAGCTTTGATTACGATTTGGATGAGAGTCAAAGTAAGAACTTCATATTTTATTGCTCTTTGTAGGATGTTTCCACTTAAGTGCACTAACAGTGTACATATTTAAAGTAGTTCTAAGTTAGAAATTTCCATCATGAGAAATATGAAAATACAGCCTCTATTAATCCCATGCAGGCAAAAGTATGGCAGTAGAGGTACAGCAGATGTGCAGAAAGACCAGTGGGGTATCTATTGTAAAATAAAGCACAATAAAGAAAATGAAACAAGCTGGAATTTTGCTTTCTTTTTTCAGCATTCAGGGGGTGTATTATTGTTGTTGCATGAGTCTGAGCTCCCTCTGGAGTACAGGCTGACCTATATAGGATTTTTAAGACTGATACTGATACCAATATTTAGCATAGTTAAAAAAAAACTAAGAACCTGATACATCAGCCAATAGTTTTTCTTTCAGACACACAAAACATAAAGAAAATTATTATATTTGTTATATATATTCAAATTACTAAGCTAATATGAAAATGCAGTTTAATCTAGTTTTCTTGTCACAGCAAGTCACAGATTACTCACTGCCACTCAGTTCGGATCAGCTGGTTATCACATTTGTGTTGCCAACATGGAAGTTAGAGAGCGCCCTTTTGTAGACATACTATACAACATCAACACTCAGTGTTTAAGGGCATCTCGCCCCTCTCTTCTTTACATTTTCACTTTAATTTATCGGCTATTGCAACTGTAGCCGATATATCGGCAAACAGTTAATATCAGCCGTCAGTCGGGCTGTACTCTGAAGGTTCACTGGTTGTAAATGTGATTTATCGGCCAGTAAAAACCACACAATAAACACTGACACACACACGGTGGTGAGTGAAAGGGAAACATATGTGAAACTGTTTATACGTGTGAACAAGACAGCAGTGATATACATAGAAAATCAGCAATACTCAACTGAGAATGGCCACATACCACAAGAGAGAGAACATCTGTGATGTGTCAGAAGCCGCACTGAAATACAGCATCATGTCATCATGGCTGCTACTGTGGTTTACTACATTCTGGAGCCCATGTGTGTTTCATTCCTTTACTCTGCTACGGAGACTGAGACCCTTTAAAATAGTTATATTAAATCACTTTTTAACTATGAACTGGATTTTCCTGAGTGACTTACATTTTACAAAAATTTTAATCTAAATACAGAAGACGAGACTGGTTGTTTCTTTAGTACTATTAAAGTTATACAAATATAATTGTCTATGCATGCATATACATTTTAAGAAATCATCTGTGTGTGTGTTTTACTGAAACCTAGCTGTGAAAACTATGCAATCAAAACTTCAGGTTCTGATTGTAACCAAATTAGATCTCTCATGTATATTATTTTGGTTTTACTTCCAGTTTTTCTTGTTTTTTTCCTTCATTGTTTTCACCTCTATTTAGTTGTCTGTGCCTGAGCTCTGCTCCCACCTGTGTCTTGTTTGAAATTAGCCCTCTGTGTAAATACACTCCTGTATTTGTGGTCTGCTTTTCTTCCTGGGTTTCTTCCATTCTTTGTCTCCTCGGCATGCCAATCTCTTATTATTTTGCATGGGTCTCTCTAGGAAGTCTTCAAGATTAATGTAATCGCTGAAAAACAAAACTTGTAAAATTATTGCATGTTAGGAAGACTTGTAGCTTTTTAAAAAAAATTATAAATTTGATTTATAAATAAATAAGGTCTGACACAAATTCAATTAAAAAAATTGGAATATAGTTCAATATAGTAAATTTAGCAGCTTTCCCTCTCAAATCTACAGTTTTAATCATTTCTTTTCACAATCCCACCCAATATGTGCCAGTTTTTTTCCACAAAAAAGTGTCAATTCTTCTTCTGCATTTACCTTTTTTATCCCTCATAAATCTGCCAGTTTATTCTAATTTGCGCTACTTTGACGTAAAATTAGCTAAACACTCACAATTTTACACTCTCCGATTAACTTCATCTCTCAAATTGAATTTTTCTTTTCTAGGACGCATAGTTTTGGGTTGTTTTTTTTTTTTTTTTTTTTTTTTTGGTTTTTTTTTTTCCTTCGAAGCATTTCTTTTTCAAATTTACAATTTTAATCTCCGAAGTTTAATTTTCAAGTGTTTATTCTGTTTTCCTCCTCTCTTCCCTCTATCGTCCTTTAATTAAAATAAATAAATAAAAAAATAAAAAAAAGTATAATCTTAGGTGGCCCTCAGTTCGGTGTCTGCATTAATAAACTGTCCTTTCCCTGTGATTCACCGCGTATTGCAGCTGTCTGAGCCTCTGCCCAGCCTTCACAAATCCCCCATCATCCCGCTTGATTGACAGGTGGACATCAGCCCGTCATCAGATAAGCGCAGAGGCAGGTTGTGGTGCATTACTTACTTTTTGAGGAAAGCTGACAGTGCTTTGACAAACTCTTGCTGGTTGACATCTTTCACCGTGACGCTGGGCATCTAGAAGGACAGTTGGAGACAGGGGTGAGCTGAAAATGATACACTGTTTGCGGCTTTACGAGCAGAAAATCAGCGCTGATGTACCGTCCGTGCTAACGTTAGCTAAAACTCTAAGCTAGCCTAGCTAAAGTAACTGAAAGCGGGGCAGACACTTCGCCTCTTTCTGTTACTCAAACGTACACCTGTCATTATCATATATTACCAAATATCTTACTTTGTATAGGCCCCACAGAGACGACAGGCAGGCGGTTATGGACTCCCAGCTTAGTGACTGCAGCAAAAAAGGATGCTGAAGAGGGATGGAGGGAGACTGCCCTCGTTTGGAAAAGAAGATACCTTATCCCAAACTAACCTCGCCTGCCGCTTAATATCCCATCTTACTTAGGTTTAAAGGGTGAATTAACACTGACGGCAATATTCTCCACTTGTATTGTAATCCTACGGGTCAAAAAAGGTGGCGAAACAATATTAAAAAGCGAGTTTTTGAATATGAGGATGCCGTTTATGAAGTACTCCTGCTGAATCCCAGCAGGGGGGACTGTTGTGGCACCTTTCTTTACACCCTGGCCCACTTCGTGTTTATCAGGATCCTTTTCAGAAAGTGCTCTGCAGTCAGGGAGGGGGGGAGGAAAGCACCAGAGGGCTGGTATCGTCTTAATTTTTCACCTGCAGTGAACTCTAGTTTATGCAAATACAGTCAACGTTGCTTTTATTTGGCTGTCAAACGTTAAATGGAGCTCATTCTGCGGCTGCAGAGCCTGTGCTCCGTGTTTGAAGGAAACACAAGAGTGCATTTCAACGGTTGATCAAGACACAACGCATTAGATTTGGAGCTACCCAAGCAGTCAGCATCTGTCACCATCCCCCAAACTAAACGCTTTGGCCTTGTTCAGAAATATAACAAAGATCAGAACCCATATAAGTCTTTATCAGATACATAACAAACTATTTTATTTGATGGATATTACATTAGGCTTAATTTTATATTGTAATGTTAAAAAAGTCCATCAAATACACTTCAAGGGAAATGACGATTACAGGCTTGTACTCAAGTTTAAAATAAAAATGACTAAAATTGGTTTTGAGCTGAAAGCCACTTAATTGATAAAAACAAATGGCTTGTTAAATGTGAGGATTTGAAGCTTTCTCTTAACTTTAAGTCCAGGCTCTTAGGGGGTTTTATTGTCAGTTCAAAAGCATGTACAGGTTGAAGGCATCTCATCAATACCTTTCTCTGAGGGCATAAAACTTGGGTTTTTAGCGTGGCGTTTAACATTTTGCCATCTAAAATTGTCACGTTTAAAAGGCAAAGTGAAATCTTACTAGGCCACATAGTCTCAAGTAGAAAAAAGATTTTTTTAAGCAGACGTGCAGTTGCTTCAAAAAATGCATTATGTAATCCCAACAAAATGACGAGACCACGTACTTTTCTATGCATACAATGGTGTTACAGAACAATGTAAATGCATTTTTAAAGATGCTTTATAGTTGTGTTAATGAAATATCAAGATTATTATCACTGTATAAATTAAGTGAAACATTACTTCTATTGCCTCATAATTTGCAATATTTCAAAGAAATGTGTAATATTTGATGACATGGGGGGGAAAAATAACATTTTATGTAATTGCTGCTTACAGGCAGCATTATTTTAGTTTTTATGCAATGAAGGGCACTTTCAATCCTTTTCCAATGAACTTTATAATTTAAAGTGCCAGCAGCATTACAGTGCAGTAGTAGTGATGCAGAATAAGTCAAATGTCAGAACAAAAGAAACCTAGGTAGTTTGTTCAACGGGAGTCTTAAGTGCAAGTATAACATAAGTGTAATTTCCATCCACCTTTTGCTGATCCTGTTTAACTAGTGAGTGCTCCTAGCTCCATACTAAGTGGAGTCATTTGTTTACTTTTGGGTTGCATGTCATCCTGGTATCTCCTACTTGCTTACTTTCATAGCCTTGTTGTATTCAATGATATTTGCCTCAAGTGGTTTTCACCTGTAGCTGGAACAATTTCCTTGCGTATTTTTGCACAGTACTGTTCCGTTGTGGATATCAAAGTATCTTCGTACTCCCCAGGCTGACATGCAGCTCTCACTTGGATGTGGCTGGGTTTCTGTTGCTGTGCAGTGTGTTAGCCTACCATAGATCACAGGTAAATTGATTTTATATGTATTTCAGTTAAGACAAACTATATGACAGGATCTAAACTAAAATACAATAACAATGTAAATGTCCTCATTTTTAGGTTTTGTCAACCTAACAGGGTTCTTAAAGGTTTGGTGCAACTGAAGTTTTAGGTTCTTGTTGTACAGTTTCTAAACCTAAACCTTGTCCCTGACATACATTCATATTTTAGAGAAAGGCTTAACAAACTAAACACTTGCAAATTCACTACCTAAAATACATGAAACTACGATGCATTAAAAATGAATTCAGAATAATTAATTAATAGTACAATGTCTCAAATAAACGAACCCAGTGATACAGTGTACTCTGTCCTTTTCAGGTTGTCACTCACTTTACGACACCAAAAGGTTGTTTGTGTTCTTCTGGACGTAGCGTTTTCAGTGAGGAAGAAACGTTTCGTCGCTCATCCAAGTGACTTCTTTAGTCTCAGCTGACTGCAGGTTTCCCCAACCTTATAAACAGTACACTTGCACAATGACTGAAACTAGCCCACTGTCACTTTAGGACAGCAGGGAAAGACGCTAACCACCTCTATGGCTACGCAAGTGGAAGCGGGTGGCTGGATGATCTATTGCAGGCTACGTGCAGTTTTTACAGGCTTTACAAAAAACGGCTCTGTAACAGTTTATTTTAAGGTCCACTTCTTTCTGCATTAATCTCCACTGAGACAAATTAAATAATTAGCCTGACATTGAAAGGGATAAAAGTTGGGTAACCAAACTATAAGAATTTGTATACTTTTAGAGAGAGGAGGCGGGGCTAAGCGGCCACTGCAGTGTATGTGTGAACTGTCGAAGAGGAGAGTGAGGAAGCACAGCTGGTATCGGTGTATCAATACTGCGGAAAACACGTATTGAATCCTCTTTCAGCTGTTCAGAACCAATGCATATTTGGACGATGCTCGTTTAAGTCTTATGTGGCAAAGTGCTGAAAATGCAGAACGTTGTGGCTTTCCTTGTCCGTAAAGTCGCATCTTATGTGGCATTTGAGCTAATGTCTTGCACCAGCGTGTGGAAGCACTGTATCTAAATCAAAGCTAGCTAAATGTGTTTACAAATGTGCAGACATGTTCATACACACATACACAGCAGCTCTGCTCTCTGTGTCAGCCTGTCTAAGCGTCTTCCCCTCCCCCCCTCTCAACATCTCTCTCCCCTTTTTGTCCCCCTCTCCTTTTCCCTCCCCTTGCTGCTCTCCTGCCTGCGAGCACTATTTCAAGCCTGTGCTGAGGACAGAGGGAGGGAGAGAGGCAGACGCGCACAGATGCGCAGTTAGAGAGCGAGGGGAGGGGAAGGCAGACAGGATTTGGAGTTCAAGTGCACGTGCAGAAAATGGGCTGAATAGAGGAGAGTCGAAGCAGAAAGGAAACCAGGAAAGGGAACGGCAGGAGCTGGAGACAAAAGACACAGTAGCTTTCTTTCTTCCTTTTCTCTTCAGAGAAAAGAGAAGGTATTAGCCCCATAAAAAAAATGAGAACCACAAAATTTGAATATAGCAAGCATAAGACAAAAATGTATTCCAATTCTTGCCCCCTCCTCTTTCCCCACCGCCACACTCCTCCTCCTATCCCTCCCTCCATTAACCTCCAGTCTCTCGCTTTCTCTCCTCTCTCTGGTTGGCTTTTTCTCCCCTCCCACCTCTTCACACACACATGCACACGCCCCGGACTCCTTCCCACTCATTTCCCTCATGCTGTTCACTTTCACTGGAGACCGACCGCAGTAAGCTCAGTTTTTGCCTTCTTTTTCTTTTGCTCGCCATTCTGCTTTTTATACCCTCATATTCAGCAGCGGCGCCACCGCCTCACTATGCGTGGCAGCCCTGAAAAACGCAGGCCGTGGATTGTCCCTGCATTAGACTGCATGCCATGTCCTTTCCTGTAAACAGTTTTTTTTCTTCTTCCCTTCTGCAGTGTATATATATTTTTTCTCCTTTCAACTCCATAGTTGCGTTCTCTGTAGAAAATCTTATCTGCATTTTGAAGTTGAAGCTGAGGGGTTGAAGATTATGTCTGAATGGACACATGAAGGAGACTGAGGCAAAAGAATGAGGGGAAAATGGAGAGCATGGCCTTAGAGAGAGAGAAGGCAAGAAAGAGAGCAAAAGAGACGTAGGAGAGTACCGGTACTGGCAAGAAAAACGGGAGGGGGAAGAGAGGACCAGTAAGGGGATAGACTTGGGAAGGAGGGACAGCTGCATAGGAATTGACAAAAATCGCGGGAAAAAGGGGGGAAAAAAACTCTAGAACGAGAAGAAACTGGACTTCTCTCCAAACTCAGACTCGCACTATGTGGCCGCCTTTGATTTTGTTTTCAGACATGATTTTTCATCAGTTCTGATCATTCATCTGTGAGTATACTGTGTACATGTCCTTTTTCTCATATTCTGTCTTTCCTTTCTTCCTCTTCCCCCTCACCTCACTTCATTTTTCCCCCCAACTCTTTTCCTTTTTCTTTTGAAAAATGTGTTCCCTAGGTTGCTAATCCCCCCCCCCCAAAAAAAAAAAAAAAAAAAAAAAATCCTGCTCCTCTATCCCATCTCTCGCTCCACCTCTCACCTTCTTTCGGCGTCTTTCTTTCCCCCCCTTCTGCCCCTTATCGTGGGTTATCGCTGTTCTCCTTGCCTCTCCTTCAAGGATTACCTCTGCTCACATTTAGATGAGGGCTTTGGAAAGGGATCACTGAGTGCATCCAGTTTTAGGGGGGCCCCTGAATGGGAGGCCAGCACTCGAAAGGAGGCATGTGTGAGACTCTGTTCATGTGTGTCTGTGCATGTGTGTTGTAATATGTTGGAGTGTGATTTAGAGTTAAGGGAGCCGGCAGTACTTACGCATGCGTGGAGTTGCTCGATGATCACGTTTCGTATTCAGGGATTGTGCCATGCTGCTAGTTATAAAAATGTATAGAAATGAAAGCGGAGGTAGTTGGATGAGAAATGAGGAGAATTAAAGTATTGCTGTTTTGTTTTTCATTAGATGTTTCTCTCCTCCCATATGGCTCCCTTTTTCTTTCTTCTTCTTTTTTTTTTTTTTCTTTCCCCCCTCCTTCATCCGGGTATCCCCAATCTCTCTGGCTGCTTGTAAAGACAAAACCCAGTCCAAGATGTGATTTTTAGTATAAAGATTTCAGTTAAATGGCAAACAGGTTTTTAAACTTTTGTATCTGAACCATGACTTTTGAAGTGCTTAACTTTATGTAAGAGCAGTGAGGTAAGTACAGTCAGACAATTGAGAGACTCAGGATATATAACAAGTCCCCTATCGTCCATTTGCAGTCCATCCAGCCCTGACTACTTTTTTTGCCTGCGGTATTAGCCTTGGATA